CTGAGCTGTATCCGGGCTGCTAGGGATGTGCCTCCTTTTGTGGGACAGTGAAGGACACCTGCAGCCAGACATCAGTGTCTGGCCTTTCCTGGCATCACCTGCTTGGGAAGTCACCTGAATCTGGCATTGCATTGCCACGGAGGGGCCCACAGGGGCAGGGAGGTGTCTTCTTCATTCTTAGGGCTCCTGCAGCACCCAAGTCAACACCTGGCTTGGCAGGACATTATAAATGGCTGCCAAGTACAGCTCAGCTCCTGCTGCAGGCATTACTTGGAGAAAATAGGTCTTCACTTAATACCATATGCTAAAATCAATCCCAAATGCATTAAAGAGTTAAATGTTATGGGAAAAAAAATCCAAAACACCCCTTCCAGGAAAATAAAGGTGAATATTTAATATTTTCTCTGATAAATAGATGGGGAAGGATTTTCTAAGCTAAACAAAAAAGCAGTTATTAAAAAATAACAAAGGAAAAGATCAAAACGACTGATTGTTTAAACACTTAATGCTTCCATGTGGCAAAAAAACACCCTCGAATGAGAAGATAAACAACAAACTGCAAAAAAGTATGTGCATCAAATCACAAAGGGTTTTTTATGATACACGAACACAATAAAATCAGTACGAAAAACCCTACGAGAACACTACAACAATGGGCAAGAAATGTAGATACAAATTTTCAAATGACAGGTTTCCTCAAGGCAGCGGAGCCGGACGGGACACTGTGTTCTCAACTTCAGTGCTTACTTATGTTTAGTCCTGAATGTGCCTAAATCCTAGGACTAATGTTTCCACTGAGGCTAACCTCTATGTACAACATGGCTTTTATGGGGCAAGGTGTCCTGTCCCGACTTTGACAGGATGGTGGGAGGGCAGCCCTTCCCCGACAGGGAGGGACTGGCCCCGGCATGAATGAGCGGTGGTTCCAGTGGTCTGCAGGGTTCTAAGCTGGAGGGCACAGGAGAGAAGGGCTGGGGGCTCCAGAGAGACAGGGATGGGAAGGTATCGAGGCCTCGGCCTCGAACCAACAGGACACTTGGCGGTTTCACAGATTAAGTTGAGTTATGGTTACTTTCTTTCCCACAGGCCTTTATTTTTCCAATCAGCATTTTTCACCTTCCCAGCCTTGGTACCCCTAAGCCAGGTGCAGGGTGTGAGATTCTCCCTCTCACCTTTATGGCTAGTAATGAGGAGTGAACAGAAGACACAGAAAGGTACCCTTTTCATCCTGCCTTTCTTTCTTTTCATCCAGACCCCTGAAGAAGCCCAGAGGTGCCCTTTGCTGGGCTTGGAGGTCCCTAAGAAGACTAGCATAGGAAAGGAGAGACCTTATACAAGCATGGCACTGCTGGTTATTTATCACAACAACAGACGGGGCAAGGAGACTTTGAGGGGAATTACACTGGAAGTGCTGGTTGGAAGGGTGACCAAGAGGAGCTTGCAGAAATGGGGAGGGAACTGAGGACTAGCCAGAGGCCATTTGCTATCACACCAGTTGGGCCACTGCATCTCCCATAGGGAGACGAAGTGAACGTAGAAGTTATAATGGGGAGGGAATTGCTGTTGATTTGTAGTTGGACAAAGAATTACACAGAAGAGAAGAGCCTTCCATGGACCAGGCAGGTGAGGTGGTCTTTCCAGAAGACCCCTTGTACATAACGGACTTACAGGAGAGACAGCTGTGCATTTATATAACTTGAAATGGATTTAAGTTGCACTGTTATGGGATCCTAGAGGTTTTTACTGAGAATGTGACAGCAGACTCTTCTTACACTCATGGACCTCCTTCATTGTGTTTCTTTTTAAAGCACAAAGTGGAGTCATGAAATAGTATCTCGCATAAAAATAATGCTTCTGATCCCTATGAAGAACTTGGTCTTCATGTTACTTCTTCAATGGTGGAATCTATTAGGTTCCCCTCATTCACCCTTCACCCTTCTGAGCCACAGTAAACAGTGTTAGAAAAGACAGCAAGCAATAAAGACTAAATGCTCACTTTGAAAAACTTCTTGGGTTCTTCCTATATACCTGGCATCAGTGCTACAGATTTACATTGGTTATTTCTTTATGACCATCCTGTAAGGCAGACATTAATATCTCCATTTTACAGACGAAAAAACTGAGACAGAGAGAGTCCAAGTAACTCTGCTAACATTACACAGCTGGTAAGTTCTGGAACCTGGATTTGAGCCACATGTGCCTGATCTTAGAGCTGAGGCTCTATGACATCATGACACTCCCCATAAATTCCTTAATCAACAGATGAGTATGTTCAGTCTGTGTTCATGATACAGGAAGAGGTCCCTTGGTCCTCGGAGTTCTTTGATGGCAAGTCCCATCAATTTCAACATGGGGTGGGACCAGCAAATCCTCAACTCAGGGGCGGGGTTAGGTTCGCCACTCTACTCATTTGGCTTCTCTTCATAGGGAGGGACAGACATCTTGTGCTGGCAGAAAAGGCACTTGGAGAACAGGCAGAGCTGTCACTGCCTGGCTTTCCTCTTTCTATAGTTTCTTTTGCTCCCAAAGAGACACACACCTACTTCCAGGCCAACAACGAGACTAAAATGAAGTCACTCACACCAGCATATTTCATTTTGTTCGGTTTCCTTCTTAAACGTAAAGTCCTGGCACTAAACTGTTTGAGCCTTAAAATAAAACGACCTGTGCATTATCTTAATGTAAGAGAGTTTCGGGTTTCAGCTCGGCCACTGAGGGTCCTTTTTTCCCAATGTAAAATGGAAACCCTGTCAACTTCTTACAGACTGAGGGGATTTCTTGTCACCCCTCCCTGAGTTCTTTACTTTGCAGCTGTACTACCTTCTAGTCCTTTTGTTCCCTAGAACACTTCATTCTCCACACACACCTACCCCTTCACTATCTTTTCTCCCTCAATTTCCTCTCCACCTGGGTATTCCTACACCTCTTCTACTAGGTCTCAGTGTAAACATCACGGTCCTAGGGAGCCTTCATAGGCCCCTGTGCCCCATCAGGGTCAGGTCCCCTTTCCATATGTTTTAGAGAATCCTATATCTGATCTGAGACAGGTCCTTATTACCTGAATTGCTTTTCATTTGTCAGATCAGGGGCATGAAAACTATGGCCTACAGGCCCATTCAGCCAGCAGTCTGTTTTTGTAAATAAAGTTTTATTGGCACATGCCATGCCCATTCATTGATGTATCATCTATGACTGCATTCATGCTGCAAAGGCAGAGTTGAGTAGTCTCAACAGAGTGTACAGCCCGAAAAGTCTAAAATATTTACTATCTGGTCCTTTACGAAAAGCTTGCTGACCCCTGGAATAGACTGTAAACTTTTGGGGGACAGGGCCATATGTCATGGTCACTTTTTTATTCCCAAGACCTACCATTGGGCCTTGCAGAGAATGTTCATTCAATATTTGAGGAATGAATGAATGAACATAGAATGAAAAAAGTTGGACTGAAAAGCCAAGGAACTAGACTCTGACAGTCTTAAAGAAGGGAAAAATGCACATTCTATAAATTGAATAGATTTTTTTTAATGTTCTTTTTAGAGACAGGGTCTTGCTCTGTTGTTCAGGCTGGAGTATAGTGGTGTGAACATAGCTCATTGCAACCCCCAAATCCTGGGTTTAAGTGATCCTTCCACATCAGCCTGCTGAGTAATTAGGACTACAGGGGTGTGTCACCACACCTAACTAATTTTTCTTTTTTTTATAGAGAGGAGGTCTTGCTATGTTGCTCAAGCTGGTCTCGAACTCCTGGCCTCAAGTAGTCCTCCTGCCTCAGCCTCACAAAGTGTTGGGAATATAGGCATGAGCCACCTTGCCCAGCCTTGATTACTTATTAAGAACTAATTTTGAAATCTGAAGCCTAATTTTAAACACCAAATCCCCAGTAATAAAATCATATTAAAATAATTTTCACCTAATACAAAACTACTTTCAGGCTCCTAAAATTTTAAAACATCATCCCTACTTTTTCTTCATAGGTAAAACACCCTTTGTCCTTATGACCCAATCAGCCTTTTATGTGAATTTTAGAGAGATAATCCAATCCACCACACACTTATTTTTAATTTCTTACAAACAAATAGCATTGGGATACCAAATACCTTTATTTACCTACTCTCATTGATGAAATTTCTACTCAATCATCTTACTTTTGGGTTCTGTGAGGCCCCTTTCCACCAGCCCTGTTTCACAAGTGTCTCTCCCAAAGGACAACAAACCAGGAATGCGTAAATAGAAAGCACAATTAGAAATTAGTTGTCAAAAATTTGAAAAATCTTGACACTGGGTGGAGAGTTGCCACCAGTTAAACAAACTGGAGAAAAAGAACACAAATTGCTATTTCAAAGAGAAAATGTAAATACATACTCGATTCTTTTTATCAGATATTGGAAAGAAGTACTGGGGAAAAAAAGGTCTTTCTTGTGACAAGGATATTTAATAAGCACACACAAAAAAATAACATAACTGCATCCCTGACCATCTCTCAGACTCTAAGGAGGCTGGCCCGGTATTCGTGGTCAAGCTGCGATGCAGGCAGCATGTTAGCATAGGGGCTGCTGCTTACCCTGGAGGAGAACCACAGAGAGGCTTCATATTTTGATCAGAAATTAACAGCTTGGCAATGGGCAGGACAGTTCATTCAAAGTTTTGCCTAAAGGGCTCAATTAATTGCATTTTGCTAGTTACCATACTACTTAATGAAAAAATATCATCCAATAAAGCCCAAGAAGTGTAGCACATTCGGATACAGATAAATTAACGACATAAAAAGAGAAAGTGCATCCAAAGAATACTTTGGGGCCCAGAATTAAAATATAAATCTATTTTGATATGTCTTTTAACTTAATATGTTTTAGTTGAACTATGTCAAGTCAATACTGAAAACTAAATCTAATCTTATATGATTGTTCTACTCAGTTTTTATTGATAGAATTTCTTTAAGGTGGCAATAGAATTTCTTTAAGGTGGCAAACCAATAAGTTTTTCTCTTTTTCCCTTTTTTGCCCATAAAGAAGGGGAAAAACCACCAACCAGCGACCATTAAAGGGAAGCCTCAAAGCGCTTCAGAGTTAGATGGACATGCTGAGCGCTACTCTGGATGTGCACGAATAAACGTATCAGTGGGCTGATAAAAACTTGGAATAATCACCCGAAATGTGTTTATTAAGCAACTTCTGGCTCAGGGTGCTCGTTAGACATTGTACAAAGGGATTTTATTGTGTTACAGATTGAAGAATACAAGATAGCACCAAAGGCAATTCAGTACATCTGTGGGTTATTCATACACAGCTGAGGTTCATTCGATAACTTGCACATACCCTGTATTTCACCAAGCAACACAAAGGAGGAAAAAGCGCAGTTAACTCGAGATATTATCACGGAAAGAATGTTTCCTGTTAGAAAATCTGATCTGATTTAGCAGCAAGGAATCTTCATAAATACATTCTTCTAACTAGGTGGGCTTTCTACATTTTCAAGTCCCCTAGATTCACAAAAATGTTCAGAAAAATAAGATTATCTTCTGAGTAGCCATGTATGAGGACCGTGTGCATCTCAACAAACTAGACATTTATCTTGAGGAAGTAAACCTGACCTGCCCCCACCCCCCAACCTAAGAAACAGTATTTGGCAAATAGGCTGTGAAATGAAGCACAGTGAAGGCTGGTTTGAACTTGGAGCAGGGCCTTCTCATATTATAAAAAGACATCCCCAAATCCAGGAATATCCTGGCCTAGATAAGATCCTAACTTTTTATCCCCCTGCTAATTACAAACTGATCACATTGCTCCATAAGCAGATATAGTTGATATATAATCCTTTAAGCTGACTTAAAAATAAAGCAGTTTGCCAGTTAAAGCCATTGGAAATGAAAGATTACATGGACATTGCAAGTAATATGAGAAACTACATTCTTCTAAAATAAGAGCAATCTTCTTACTGACTCCTGCCAGAGTAACCCAAGGCCCAGGACCAAGAATGTTCCATAACCCATGGCTTTATTTGAAAATGAATATAAAGACATCACATTCTGGACCTGAAGTTATTATGTGATGTAGCAGAAAAGCAAAACGAGCCATTACATTACTCAAAAACAGAAATCCCTTCTGGAAAACGCTTTTCCTAAGAGCCTCAGAGTACATCTAACAAGAAGCTGGTGCGTACGCGAAGCTCCAGGTGGCGCTCTAACAGGCAGCGCGCATCTTCCCAGAGCGCCACTTCCGCTTGCGCAGGCAGGAAGTGCGCACCCCTCTTTGATGCCCTCCTGGCTCCCTCGCAGGAAACTAGGAGGAATCCAACTGAATGGCTGCCAAATCAGTCATTCTCCAGATGGTATTTTTCAACTCGTCAATAGTGGCATTATTAAAGACTTCAATAGATCACATTGGGCCAAAATGTTGGTTTTTTTGGTCTCCTCTGCAAGGCGGCCCCTCTACAGCTCAATTGCCCAGTCCTGAGTTAGGATCCCAGTTAAATACTGACCCAAAGGAAAGACTTCCATATGCTAAATCCTGTCTGCTCCAGTCCTGGAGCCCCGCTCCTCTCGACCCAGGGCAGCGGCAGCCCCGCGGGAGGGAGCAGAGGAACCGCGAACATAGCACTGCTGCTGGCACTAGGTGGACAGGGAAGCACGGGGATGGGGGTGGGGGGGTAGATACACTTTGCTGTCACTGTTTTGTTTCAACCAGAGAAATTACTTAAGGGGAACAGCATTCTACAAAGTTTGTGCTTCTGGAAAATCTGATTTGTGAACGTTCAGCTTCAAAACTTGAGAGATTACCGAAGAGATGACAGAAATGGAAGTTGGCAAGGCAAAGGCTCGGATGGAGGAAGGGCCCTGCAATGGATCAGGGTGACAGAGCAGAGCGTTTGGATGCGCATGCAGACGTTATGCGGACAGAGCATTCCAGTGGTAAGTGATATAGACCAGCACTATAAAGAGAATATGGACAAGACAGAAGCCTATAAGGTCCCTGGAGCGGAGGGCAGAAGTTGGTTGTGGGGCTTTCTCCCCGAGTGCCAGCAGAGTGTCAACAGTCTTTCGAATGTGACGAAAATCCAACTGCAGGATGTCATACGGAGAGCAGAGGTCAGCCTATTCCGAGGGCAGCCATTAGAACAGAAAGAGACAGTGCATACAATTAAAAATACACAGAAGAACAGCTGGAAAGAAGCACACATTTTTGGTTACTAGCAAATGGCAGGAGTAACCCCTTATTTCAAGCAGGTAAAAACCCTTTACAACATCAAAGATAAATTTTAATGCGTTACAAAAGAAAAGGAATACCCAACGTGTTTTATGCAAATAGGACAAAGAAATCCTTCACTCACGATCTCATTATTGAGGAACAGCGTGTTCTGCAATTTATACATCATTCTGGCATTCAGACAGTTTTAATATTCAAGTGCTATCATGTGCTCACCAGTGGCATTAAAAATAAGAGGCTTTCACTTGGGACATTAAGGACTTAATCGTACAAAGGAAAAAAATATAAACTTTAAAATTTAATCTCCACTCCTCATCTCCATTCTCTTCATGAATCTTAGACCTTGGTCTATATACACTAAATATAAAGTATTTGTCTCTGAAAGTTAACACACACACCTAATTTATTTTTGTTTTAGGATTGTTGACAAACTCTGGGAAATGCTAATCCTAATCCTCTCTCTGCGTGTGTCAAAGAGTACATTATATTTCAGAGTTTTGCAACTACACATTAGCCAAAAGGCTAGAGGAGGCTTCTCCCATGCAGAATTAGAACAAAAATTCATCCCCACATAGGGTTATTATGTAAATTCCTTCACCACTTTACAGGTATGTTGTGGGAACAGACCTCCATGTTTTATCTACTTGACAACTGTCACATAAGGAGGTAGAACATCTACTTTACCAACTAAATGCAAAACTAAGATGCTCAGTCTGCTGAGTTGACCTTGGACAGCCTACTGCTGTCAGGAAGCAGTATTCTGATACACAGAATTCCTGAAACACAAATGACCACAGCTTAAAATTAACAGTGATTATGACTGTTATGTTGGTAAGAAAGAAAAGCTGTGGTTTGTTTCCAAATTAAATAAGGATTGAAAATATTTGTGACATATTTCATAAATGCAGCTTTATTTCCAAATTAAGCAAGGCATCTAACATATATATAGCATATATCTTTTACATATTTTGCTACAACAGTGCTCTTTATTTTAGCCTCACTGCTAAGCAGATACAAATCACAGAGCAAGTGAAAGATGATTCTAAGTTAGAGGTTTTGTCTCACTTGTATCCTCTGAGGTTAGCCTGATGCCCTCAGCTAAGTAGGAATACTGCAGTATCAGATGACTGAATAAGATTAAAAACATTCTAATCTTATTTATGAAGGCAGAAATACTCTTAAGATTAATAAATCACGTTATATCTATTCAGATCTTGCATATTTTCTCAGTGGATTTGGAGCAATCAAGCTACCACTGTTAGAGTTCTCCCAAGAATTAAAACAGCTACACGAAGACTGGATTTCAGTGGGAGACAGATGCTGGTTACAGATTAATAGGTGAGGAAATATTTAAGAAAAGTTTTCTATTGCAATAATTATTTTTTATTGCAATGTTTTACTTGATCAGTGAAATCCAAGCAAAGCAGACATAAAACAGAAGGCTTATATGCAAACAGAAATGTGATTTTCACAAAGGCGGTATTTTCTTGTTAAAAGCAAACCATTCTATCTTCAGCAAGTATTTCAATACATTTCCTAGAACCCTATGGAGTATGTCTGTTCTGCTCCCTGGCAGCACCATCAGAGAGCCAGAATGAAATCAACTTTGCAGTTTTCAGTAGTACCCTCCACATGGAGGTAAACAACACAGACTGTTCTCTGTTCCCATGCAGGGAACAATTTCATGATGCCACAGGTTCTGGGCTTGATTAAAGTGGGTAAGGCCTACAGTCATAGCCTATGGTGGTTGGCTTAAATTAAATCATCATCTCTAAAGAAAAAGGAATGGGTATAAGACTGTCTGGTAGACAAAAATCTGAATCACCATAATTAATGTGTGGAATGTGGGCTGCTGTGGCCATCTGAGAACTGCTCTCTGATTTGACTCCATGTCACACGGCCAATAGTCACATCCGGTCCTTGCAATGAGGCCATGATACAAACCAGGGCTGAAATTCCTAACTTCTGACCTGGGATGTTCTGATCTTTGTGCTTCCCAAAATTTGGCCTTACTGGGAGGGACTTAGAGTTTATACTTTCTCTCTGAAAATTAAAATTGGAAAATACTAAAATAGAAGGAAAATCAAGAGGCAAAATGTCACCATGTATTTACAGAGCATGTGATTACTGCAAGGCATTTGAAAAAAGTCAGTTAATTCAGACTCCCCAAAGGCAAGTGCGGATGCTAATTCCCATATAGTGAACAGATATTACAATTTCCAGAGGTTAAATGATTCTCTTACAGTGCACACAAGAGTGTGTGACCAAGATTGCTATTAAAGATTGGCTCAAATTTCCCAAACACTGTGGACACAAACAGAAATGTAGACAAATTTGGCAACAGGTCTAGTTTTTATAGGAATTCTCGGTATACTACAGTCTAAATTCTAAGAGCTAAGCATATCTAAAACAGAAGTTTTATCTAGAAATTAGATCATATTTAATTTATTTAAATAAAATTTTAATTTTAAAAGTCAATCTGCTTACAAAGTATTTTTTAATCTAAATTATCATAGCATGGGAATTTGATGGTCTTTCTGAAAATTTAAAGTAATTTTGTGACAAGGTATAATATAATTGCGTAGAGAGAGGAGAGAAGAGGTGGGGGAGGATTTCCAGTTTTCTCCAAATATATGACAACTATTTACCAATTTTATGGACTTAGAGGATAACCTGATGTTGGTATGCTAATTTATTTGGAAATATAATTTAAAAGTTTTTTAAGATGCTGCTTCTAAAGTGATTTATTCTGGAATATGCACATAGGAAAGGCTGTCAGACCACTGACCAGAGGTGACTAGGAGGCATATACCTGGGAAAAGATGCTAACATGAACAGCAAACAAATACTAGCTATAAAAGATGCAACTGATTTTACAAGCTAGAGATTGGCTCATTTTTAATAAATTATGAGTTAAAAAATTTATGTTAATAAAATAATAATCTGTCTGTACCTCTGATTATTTAATCTCAGAATTAACCAATATCAATGGAAAATTAAATCTTGTAATAAGAATCTCATCTCCCCCCAAAAAGAGTTATTATTTAAATTAATACTAAAATCATTCATTTGGGGAAGAAAAAGAGGCATAAAGCTCAAAGAGGATAAGGAACTCATTTCACCTTTTCTCAAGATTAAAGCCAAAAAAATAGTAGACTCAACTGTCTACTGTTGAGTTTTTCAATAACAAAAATTTTTGATCAGCTATACATTTATAATTTCCTGACCCCTCACAACACGTGTAAAGCAGGAAAGTTATTACTATTACTTTCAAATATAAAATGTCATTGTAAAACACAACAAAAATGCAAATATGAAAGGTACTGAAAAGATGAAAAACTGCCATAATTACAGTTATAGCCACACAATCATTGTTCGCATCTGAATGTACTTTAGGATTTTATTTTTAACTCTATTTGGCTGATGTGGAAGCTGAGGGGCACCAAGTGACCTGTCCTTGTGCATGTGGAGTGAAAACCTTCTACCTCCTACAGTCTTGAAAAAACCCCCAGGCTGCCCAGCCAGGCAAGCAGGGGCCTTCGACTGCCAAGAACCCTGCCACTGCCAATTGAGTTGCTGCCTTTAATCCTCTATTTTCTCTCTAAAGATACCAAGGAAGATGAAGGGCTGGCAGCTAGGCAACAATGTGCATTTGCATTTCCCTTCTAAATCCCCTCCTCATCTAAAGAGGGCAAGTCTGTTAAATTAAAGACCTTACCCCTCATAGAGGTCTGAGACCAAGGCTCCTCTTTAAAATTGAGTAGAAAAATTTCCCTGGAGAACCAAATAAATATCTATTTTTTCGTACTTTTGATGCTTCATCAATTGGAGCTCTCGCTCCACCTGAGAGAACACTAACAGCTCTAAATTTGGATCCATTTGGAAACCCCCAGTAGCCACTGTGAATCTGCCACATAGAGGTTAGTTAGAGGTCAGTCATGGGCAAGTTGATCCAGAAAAGGCAAAGGAAGCCTCAGTAAATCCATAAAAACATCCTCATCCCAAGGCCTGATTGGAATCAGATTCTTAGGTGATACAAAGAATATAACTTGAAGAATCCGGAAGCCCACCAAGGCCTGTCTTCAAGGCCAAGTTGAAGCTTACACCAGAGGTCAAAGACAGCTGTACAACGTGACCAGAAGGCGTTACCACCACAAAGGATGTGGAATGGTGCTTTACGCCGCCTGTAATACTGACTACAGCCAACTCTGAGAAGCCACATTTATGAATAAGTCACACCAGAATCCCTCTCTCCTACCCTACTGTAAAAAGCAAGCTTAAAATACCACTGAGAGACAGTCTCACTCACTAATCTGTATGTAGTCACTATTTATTCAGTGACTTTAGGTGCTATACTGCCACATCCTGCTTGACACATTTCCTGGGTATTAGGGAAACCACAGAGTGGTCCCGTGGCTCTGGCTGCTGAAGCACACACAAATGTTTCATAAGCCTTGACCAACCCTGGAGCAAATATCTGGGGTTGTGTTCCTGGGACTTCTAAAGAAAAATGCAGTAAACTATAACAACCAAATCAATTTTAAAATAGTTTCCATCCCATCGTATTGCCCCACATTTAGTAATAATCTAACTAAATCTGCTCAGCTACTGTATTCCATCTATATGAACCCGATAAAATTATACAGACCACTGACCCTGACTTTGGTTTGTCATTTCAAACTGATTTTATTACAAAGGGCAACAAACACAGGCTTAGGGCACAGCTGTGACTCCTTCCGTATCTATAGGATGATTTATCATTGTCAATTAGATATTTAGCTTAGAAAATGCAGAACTCAAGGTCTCCATGGCTTGTGTGTATGTGCAGATAAGTTATGGATGGAGAGGTGGAAAAAGCTTGCAAATTAGAGGGGATTAATTATGCTGATTACTTGAAAAATCAATGAATATCTTATTACCCAAATATTCTTATTGATGCAATAAGAAAAAGTAATGATATAGGTCCTGCCTTTTTTTTTTAAGGTACCAGTGTTTAAACATGTCTAATTGTAGATGGAGAATTTCTGCAAATAGTCTTGTGATTCAATTATATTTTTAGTGTAAATCATCAACTGTACTGTGACACGTACACACTGAAACATCAATCCTCCTAAGTAGTGAAAGAAGTATAAATGTCTAACGGGGAGGAAGTCATCTGATTCCTAACTTGGTGTTTTGTTCCTACATGAAAACATTTCTTCATGTATTCTATGAGATGAAAACATGCTGTTTTGCATATATGGGACAATTTGCCAATTGCTTTCCAGTTGGGAATTTCTGATTTCACACAAAATATTCTTTATTTATTTTAACATTCTCATTAAAGAAATTCAACTGCTAACACGTTTTTCCAGCAGCAATAAATCTAAAGTAACTCTAGTCACAAGTAAAATGCTAGTGGATTATCCATCACGATGGATATATATGTACACGTACAACTATACAAACACACACACACAGAGCAAACCTGAAAATCATCTAAAGCCTTAAAGATAATTTCAAAAATATCCTGAGTGATATACTTCTTACTAAGCATAGTTAACTGGGTCACTGGCAAAAAAGGTCATTCATGCTCCTTGTATTTCAACCTTCTTGGCAATTATGAGTTGCCTATTTGTGCTAGGGGCACTATGCTGGGGGCATAATTCAGAAATCATGATAAATTTTGTTCTGCATTTTTATGGTAATTTAATTTCCTTTTTCCCATCTTAAAAGGAAATTGTAATTACCAATCTTTGCTCACAATAAAAGGTGAAGGGCATTTGCATTTCATTTTGTATCACTGTAACCCCCCCAAATTGATGAATTTAAAAAAAAATCACAGGGGGTTAGGTCATAACTCATCAGTGCTTTGTAGCACAGACAGGAATAATGCAACATCTGAACCTTTGTATAAGAGTTTTGATTCACACATGGGAAATCTTATTAGCCCATGACAGAATCAAATCATTAGAAAAGGTCTGTGTTTTCACATATATTCAAAGCCAAGAATATATATGCAATATTAAAATATACACATGTAATATAGACACACAGATTAACAATGCTGAAAGCAGAACTGACCACAAAGACATTTAGTGCACTGGGTAAAAATTACACTTTTAAAAATTGAATTTGTAAGCTTCTTTTTATTGATACAGTTCTGACTTAAAGATGTTTTAATAATACTATTCTTTTCTTCAAATAAGATTTGAAGCCTACCATTAACCCTCGCCTTTGAGTCCCACTAAGCTAAAAAAAAGAGGAGGGGAAAGAAAGGAAGGAAAAAAAAGGAGGAAAGAGAGGAAGGAGAGAAGAAGGGAGAGGGAAAAAAGGCTTTGTTAATTTCAATAACTAACTCCTATCGCTGAGAATTATATTGAAATGCAATTTGTTCACATGCTCAAAAATAGTACCACATAATAGATTTTTTTATATCATCCCTGGGGCATTAGGAAAGATAGAAGAAATCGTAACAAATACAATCTCCATCCATTTCTGTTTATCACAATAAACTTCTCAATTATATATGGTTACTCCCAAATTCTGAGTGAATTGGCTCATATCTCCCTAAGACATCATTTTATGTTCTAATACCAAAGTCTTTAAAAGCCCCCAAATCAACCATCTGCCTGAGGCTGAGGCTGGGGCTGAGGTTAAGAGAGGAAAAAAGTGGCAAACTGTACAGCCAGGCTGCTACAAGGAATTGCCAGTTGGGCAGTCAGCAAACTAAAGGAATAAAATGTAAGTGCAAACAGTCAACAAACTATAAAGCAACATAGAAACATTGTTATTATTAATGATAATGATTAATGATAATACTAACTATAATATTTTCAGTGTTGATTTTTTTGACCCACATACCAAAAATGCAACTACAGCGAATGAAAATCAACGGTTCGTAGGCAACTACAGGCCTTTGCCTAAGACCTTGGGATAAGGAACCCATCAGCTCCAAAATGCTACCCTGTGGAACCTGCTCACCCGCAGCCTCAGCAATTTCTGCTCTCATAGAATCAAGCTGATTAATTTATTTTTCAAGTTTGGAATTTCACATTTACTTAAATTATTTTCCCTTTTTCCTCAGAATTGAACATACTGTATAACGCCATTTTAATTTTACCACAATAGATCAATTTAAATTAAAATTGTACATATTTATTCAATATTATACTTTAAGAAAGGTTGAGACTAAAGAAATATACAAAGCTTTACATCCAGTCAATGGTTCAAACACATACATTAAATACAATTTTTACTAAAACATGGATATTTGAACTAAGTTTGATGTTACCTCTGGTACTCCTAATTTTCGGCATGCTTCCAAAAAGTTTTCCACATTTCTTCTGCATTTGGCCATGCTAAGTTTGGGCTATAAATGCAAACATACAGAAATAACGTAGTATTAAAACAGAAACCAATTTAATAACAGATCAAATTATAACCTTTCTAAATGGCACAAGTAATGCATGTTTATTGGAGAAAAAGAAAATAATACATAAGCAAATAGAAGAAAACATAAAATTACTGGGAAACATCCATCTAGAGATAAAGACTGTCAATACTTTGGGTTGTATTCTTCTTGACATTCTGTGTGTATGTGTGTATGTATTAAGTATACACAGATATATATACACACACATATATATGCACATATATAGACACATGTATCTAATGTTCATACACTGATAAATACTATGTGAAGTTTTCTGCGTGCATATGTATCTATGTGTATATATTTGTATATACATATACAAAACTGTACATACATATATAAAATACATACACACACTACATATATATACACACACACACAGTTTTTATGGGATCATATTGTTGTGTAACCTGCTTTAATCACTTATAATACACCATAAACATCACCTTTCCCCATCAACAAATATGTTTCTACATATAGGGTTTCAATTTACCAGCTCAATTAATCTGCTTCCCACCAAAGCCAGTTAGGAAGAGGTAACATCAAAGTGGACAGTGATGAAAATGGTGGATGTTCAGGACTTCACCAAAAGCTTCTCACAAAACCTTGGCTGTATATGACCTCTAAGATGCGGGATGGGTAACAGGTTCATCTAATTCATATACTGTAATTTTTACATGAGTAGTTTTAAACACTTTCCTGCTGTATTTTAATATTCCACCGTTAGTTTCCTTAAAGCTAGAAGCACGACTGACCCCAACAGTGTAGGTGTAGGAGCCATGTGTTATAAAGACTGATAATAGTGAGAATGAAGTCACTCTTATTCCATTTTACAGGGGCACAAATGAATTATCATCAAAATCTAAATCTGTACAACATTTACTTAAAAAAGAAGAAAAGAACTCCCGCCTCTCAAAGGGAAAGAAAGCCTATTGTCATATAAAACAATTTAGTTTGAAGTCTAAACAAGTACTTTCCATCTTGGCTAGAGAGGAAGTCTTGCCCTTCACATGAGACCTACAAAGATGTGACAAGCAGCTGTTTGGGAGGCTTTGTCCATCTCCCTACCCACATCTTAGGACAAGACCACCACATGAAGCCTCGCGCAAACAGGAGGAACAGACCTCAGGAATGTCACAGGTGGGTAACAGAAGTGAAGATTGGGGACCTGTCAGACAGGGCACCGGGGGCATTTGTCTCTCTGATCCTTCTCCTCTTTCTTCATCTACTCAAGATTTAGGAGGGCCTGTTCTGAAGCACCAAAGTTGCCCCACATCTTTCAAAGTTCTTATATCAGCACAGAAGAAGTCAATGCAAAGTGTGTTTCAAGCTACTGAAAGATAATTCCCCATCTTTGGGAGGGACTCTTCTAAGATTCTTGCTAGTTTCAGGTAGAAACGTACTTGTGACAAACGCAGTGGCTACAGGTTCAACCTCACCATTGGTCAAAGAATCAAAAATTATACCAAGTACACCAATTGGGATGCCAATGGTTTGCTTATCAAATTGTTAAAGACTAAAGAAATCCATTTTTCTAAGGAACAGCCTCTTAGCATATCGACAATCACAGTGATTCTGCTCACCACTGTATTCCCTCAGCTTGGCATAAAAACTGGATAATATTCAGTTTCATGGATGAAAAATTAGAATGCTTAATGCTGGCCATAATAATGGTACTCTCATCCAGAGTTGGCAGTGAGGATATAATGGCATTTCTTCCTTCCTATGTGTTAGATACTATACTTGATGCTAGAGATACAACCGTGGAGCCAAAAGATGCAAACCTCATGATCACTTAGCTCCAGGGTAGCTGGAAATATTAGCAAGTTAAAAAATATATAATATAATATAGGATAGTTCTTAATGTGATGGGGTTGCTACTATGGAAAACAAACAGAACCCATTCCCATTGGGAATGAGGAAACCCATTCCCAAGGGCTCACGAAGGGCCTGCCTGCCGCAGACACTGAAGTGGAGGAGAAGAGGGAGCCAGCCGTGCTGGAGGGCCGAGGAGACGTGGGTGGAAGGCGGGGCGGGCTCGGCTTTCCAGGCAGAGAGAGCAGCCCGTGCCCACCCAGAGCAGAGAGCAATGGCACAGTCAAGAGGCAGAAAGAAGGTTCTACGGCTGTGACCAGGTGGCTGGGCTTGGTTAAATGCCTTCCAGATGTTCACTAAGGAATTTTTTGTAAGTGGACATTTAGAAACAAAGTGTGTTTCTAAAAAGGAAAACTGCAGAGCAAGTAGGTTCAAGATGGCTGACTCCATGCAGCTGCCTCTCCCATGGAGCGGATGCAAGATAGCATAGCGAGTAGGTATTCATTCACCTTTGGATAGATCGTCTGTGAGAGAGGAATGGGATTCAACAGAGAAGCGAAGGAAGGCACCAAAAGCCAAGGAGAGAGAAGTGAGGCAGGATCAGAAGGGCCTGCACGCGGGAAGGCTCCACGCTCCGCTGTGGACTGCACAGTCCTGGCTACGGGAGCTTTCTGCAGTGGCCTGGGGACCAGCCCACCCCTCCACACAAACACTCCTGGGCAAATGCTTGGACTGTGACAACCACAGGGCAACAGGGAGACTTGAGAAAGCAGCAGTGTTTCTGGAGTTCTGAACTGCAAGGTGGGCTGCCCCAGGGGACCCGGGAAGTGGCACAAGTGCTTTTTAAAACAGGAGGGCAGAGTGTGCACTTTGCTGCACCAGAGAGCACCTGGCTCGTGACCGAAGTTGTCTGCACCCCTCCAAGTAGAGACGTGAGTGCAGAGATAAATCCGTAGGGAGGGAGAGTGAACCCACCCTAGAGCAGAAGTGGCACTGGAGCCTGGGAAAGGATGTGGAGACAAGGACCTCCCCTCTTCCAACCACCCAGTGTGGCAGACATAGCCGCCTCTGCTCCCAAGACGAACTTTTGGCCTGGGCAAGCTGTGGGACGGCCAGTGCTAGGCTTGCAGGGGGGGACACCCCCAACAGCACTCTGCTCATCACTCCTGAATTCTGTGTAGAGGGTGCTGCTTATGTCCCTCTCTTCATGAACACACAGTGTTTCTGCAGCTGTCCCGACCCAGAAGTCTCAGCCCTTGGGTCTCTCCATCACTGAATCCACAGCCAGCACTTCCCAGAAGCCACCTGGACCACAGCAGCTCTGTGGGACCGGGGACCAGGGGAACTGTGGGTCTCCTGGTGCTTGGGCATGCAGGGTGGGCCACATCCAGCTGAGAGGAGACAGCAACATGCCAGAGGGCCCCACAGGACAGAGGGGACTACGGCACCAGCTTTCCACCATACGGAACCTTTTCCTCCTCCTCCGCTCCCCGGCCCACTGCTGCTAAGGCAGCCATGGCTCTTTCTGCCCAGGACTGGTGGAGCTTCCATAGGGGACAATTAAGTCAGGGCACTTGGGAGTGGCTACCCCACCTCGTATAGAGCAGTTATTACACCCAGGATCCCACAAAGCTTGGGGCTCACTCTGTTCCCTCCAAAAAGCCACAGCAAGTGCCTTCATGTGTCTCAAGGACGAAACCTACTGTCTCCCCTGAGGGACAGTGTCCTCCCTCCAGCTGCCTGTCTCTTCCAGGAGGAGCCCACCCTCCCAGGAGGCAAGTCCCTGGCACAACCATGCCTTCCCCACTGTGGCATCTTCAGCCACAGCCCTCAGCCAGTCGCCCTGCCCACAGCAGGCCGGGCCACCTCCAACACCTCTGCAGCGGGGCCGGGGTGGGAGCTGAGAATCTGGGCGCTTTTGTTTCCCTGAAAGGCAGAGACCACTGTCGCTGCTGAGAGAGAGAGGTGTGAGTAGTTCATGAGTCCCATAACCTCTGCTAATGTCATCAAGAGGGGCCTGCCCCTCTGGGCACAGGCTCACCATGTATCCGCCCTCCTGCCTGAGCATTCTTCCCCAGCAAGAGAACACCCCGGCCCTCACTATCACAGTTCCGCACCTCAGCTCGGGAGCTTCAGGGCCAATTTGTTAGCCCCATCTTAGTCTGGCTGCCTCAGGACTCAAGCACGCCATCCAGGGGCCTGGAAACTGTGGATTGCCTAACCTAGTCCACTACTGCTGCCACCTGAACACTCTCCCAGGGGTCTGAGGTCCAACCAACCCAAATTGCCAGCAACACCATAGTGGGTCCCTACCTGCCTGAGCTGAAGGGCAGTGTACCCCTCCCTGTCTACACTGAGCAGCAGAGTTCCCAGCAGAGCAGGACAGGTGAACTGCAAAGCTCTCTGTTTTGAGGTGAGCAAAGAGGTTCCAAATGAGAAGGAACCAGCATAAGAACTCTGGCAATATGAGAAAACAGGCTCCTTCCACACCCACAAAGGAACACACTAGCTATCCAGAAATAGACTCCAACCAAAAGGAAATGTAAATTAGAACAACCTCTATAGAAAAAAGTGTAGAGGTTCCTCAAAGAACTAAAAGTAGACCCACCATTTGATCCAGCAATCCCACTACTGGGTGTCTACCAAAAGGAAAACAAGTCATTTTATCAAAAGGTGTCCACCTGTACTCATGTGTTTATCACAGCACAATTCACAATTGCAAAGATATGGAGGCAACCTAAGTGCCCAACAACTGATGAGCGGATAAAGAAAATGTGGTGTATATGTACCATGGAATACTACCCAGCTGTAAGAAGGAATGAAATAATGTCTTTTGCAGCAACATGGATGGAACTGAAAGCCATTATCTTACGTAAAGTATCTCAGAAATGGAAAAACAAATGCCACATTACTTACTTATAAGTGGGAGCTGAATGATGGGTATACATGGTTATATAGAGGGGTGGAATGAATGGACTTCAAAGACTCAGAAGCAGGGAAGGTGGGAGGAGGGTGAATGATCAAAAATTACCCACTGGATACAATGTATACTATTAGGGTGATAGGTGCACTGCAAGCCCTGCCTTCACCATCATACAATTCTGTCCGTGTATCAAAAAAAAAAAAACCCCACGTGTACCCTCTGAATCTACTGAAATAAAAAAAAGAAAACTACAACATAATAACATAGGCTAAAATGTTACAGTTATTAAAATGAGTATTTGTGAAGAATTTCAGTGACATGGGGGAAAAGGTTTCAATAATAAAATTTATCATTTAAAATATCATTTAAAATAATAAAATTTAAATGATAATAATGGCTTGTATGTATATATTATATGTAGCACCTCACTTCATCCTTGCAAGAACATTTCCATTATAGAGAAGAGCAAAACAAGTTAAAGCGAGGATAAATAACTTGCCCAAAGTTGTACATATTTTAGATATAGATTTGGAATTTTAATACCAGCCTTGCATTCTTAGCTCCGAAACTCTTCTGCATCTCCTAACAAACAGCAAATAGTATGAGCAGAAATTCTTCTACATTTGTCTAAAGTGAAACCGTATATAAGCTTCAAAGACAAGCTCAACCTTGATTCCTTCTCATAGTCTATATGAGAAGCTCACAATTAAAAAACTTAAATGTACAAAAATGTTGGTAGTAAAGAAGACAAATGCTAACAATTGTTGTGTTTGACTGGTAGGATAAAAAATGGTTTATTTCTCTTCTGCTTCCCTTTATTTTCTCTTTTTCACCAATCAGGCATTATTTCTCATTAGTTTTCAATTCCAAAAACTTTATTTAAAATAAGAAAAAAGGTGAAAGCTAAAAGATTTCTAAAAAACTTGTAGCATTTTCCCTGAAGAGGGAATGAAATATACAAAGGTGTACAGACACACGATTCTTAGTGTCCTTTTACACCTTGTGAAATGTTGATTGTCCATTCAAACTGAAGTTCAAGGAGTCCATAGTGTTTCCCTCATAATTTGGGGAAAATTATTACAAGAATTGGGCACACAGCTCTGATAACTCTACAGCAGTTTGGGCCTCAGCTGTAAGAACTACTGCAGAGTTTCACAGGATCAGAATTTACTGTCCTACATGCAGGCTGCCAGCGGTAGATCCGAAAGAGAAGACAAACTGGTCTTTTTCCCGCCCCATGTTTCGGAGACAAAAAAAAAAAGTAGTCAAACTTTTGAAAGAAAAAATATGTTCAATATCATAGAAAGGAAACTAACAGTTGAAATGAGATCATCAGCTAATTTTCCTGCTGCCACGAGCGAAGGAAGTAGGACAAATGACACCACTGTGAGGCTTTCCTGGGGAAGGGGGGAGGGTGCAGGGGCGTCACATGAGCTTTCTCCCAACACACCAACTACAGGACATTTTATGAACATTGTATTTTGAGATTAGGGGCTTCAGATTTTTAAAATCTGCCCTATGAACACTAATGATAATAATGGCTTGTATGTATATATTATATGTAGCACCTCACTTCATCCTTGCAAGAACATTTCTATTATAGAGAAGAGCAAATCAAGTTAAAGCGAGGATAAATAACCTGCCCAAAGTTGTACGTATTTTAGATATGGATTTGGAATTTTAATACCAGCCTTGCATTCTTAGCCCTGAAACTCTTCTGCATCTCCTAACAAACAGCAAATAGTGTGAGCAGAAATTCTTCTCTATGTGTCTAAAGTGAAACCATATATAAGCTTCAAAGACAAGCTCATCCTTGATTCCTTCACTCTCACCTGAACGACCATACAACTGACTCTGTAGCTCCCTTTTGGTTCCTGACCTGCTCTGTGATATCTAGCAAGAGGACCCCGCATGCGGCCTTTATCTCTCCTATATTGGAGATGTGGATTTGGGGGGCATTACGGAGTCTCATTCACATCCACCTTCCCCACTATGTCCCAGTATCACCCGAGTGTCTGTGAGCACAATGACTGATCAAGGAATCGTTAAAATCATAACTGGCTGACCGAACTCTTGGCAGGTTATGAATGATATTTTCCATAGAATTCACGTCTTTTCGGGGCTATCCTCAAATCTCCAAAGATGATTCCCTCTAGTAGGGAAAGGACCGACCAAAAGGAGCTTTCTGAAAAGACTTCTCATTGTTTATTATAATCCCCTGGGAGAAACGAATCTTTATGTTTCTACAGTCTTAAAGTTAGCACCTCAATCAGTAATTTCTTTAAAGTGATTTGCTTGATACCTGAAATAAAATTACATTTCTGTCATTTACATACATATTATTAAGTAGTCTCCCTTTTTACAGTAAAAATGTAGCTTCATTCAGTCCCATGCCTCCATTCCTTTTCTACTCTTAGGATGGTTGGGGGCCCAACAGAAAACATTTGGGCAAGATCCCAGTGATACCAGTGGCATCCTGAACCAACAACACTGCCCCAAAAGGGTATGTTTTAGGTCAAGGTTAGTTTCCTTTATATGGTGCTACTTACAACCGCTGGTGAGGGGACATGGATGCTCGCAACGGACCGTGGGCGGATGTGGTTGACCAGATGGCAGAGGACCACGCCATCCATGAGCGCCGCCCCCAGGTCCTCGTGCAGACTGACCTTCAGCCTCATCTCGATGCTCTGTCGGGGAATCAGAAAGAAGCCAGTTGCTATCGACACCGAGGCAACCAAGGGTAAAATATAATTGCAGGTATTTACAAACTGAGGTACTCATTTCATTACAGGGGATGAGGATAAGAATGTCTAGAAAATACTGACATTATTTACATCTTTGCAAATAATATTGAAAATCCCTCTGCATAAATATCAATTCAGTTGTGTCTAAAATTTTTAATTAGTAGAATGAAAGGAATCATGGAATCTCTTCTTGAGCTCAACACTTCCTCAGCCTTGGCTATGAAAATATACAAACAGAAAGAACTGATAAATAAAAACAAATCTGACTGGTTCAGACGGTCTACATGGGGCAGAAGAGGGATTATGGGATGCCTTTTAGACTATGTTTTAGTTGAGAAATCAATTTTTGTTCTTTTTTCAAAAATTAAACTTGATTTTGAGATAATTTGAGATTCATGCGCATTTGTAAGAAATAATACAGAGAGATTCCATATGCCCCTTGTCTAGTGTTCCCCAATGGTAACAACTTGCAAAAAAACAATCAGGATATTGACATTGGTAGAGTCAAGAAACACAACATTCTCATCACCACGAGGATCCCTCCAAGTCTAAGATATAGGAGGCAAAAAGCAAGCCCATGGAGCTCACTCCCATGCTGTTCCTCAAGTTCCAGGGACCCTGGCCAGTCTGCCTTCTTCTCTTTCCCTTTTTTGTAGAGATGGAGTCTTGTTATGTTGCCCAGGCTGCTTTCTAATTCCTGGTCTCAAGTGATCCTCCCACCTTGGCCTCCCAACATGCTGGGATTATAGGCACTGTGCCTGGCCCTATTTTTAAAAAATATAGAATATTGCTTCACTTCTGAAAATTATTCTTTAGTTACATAATATTTCTTGGGTACCTCACGGAGTTGTTCCACCAGCTCTTTTTCTTCTCTCATCTGTTCCATTTTTCTCCGGATTGTAAACTGTGGGTCTATAGATTCCAAATTTCTCTGAGGTCTTAGAAACACTACAATAGAAAGGGAAAAAAGTTTTAATGTAGTGCCTTGTACAAGTTGCCACATAGCACTACTCATAGTAAAACTAAACAGTGTTTTCATGTATCCAAAATAATTCATTTGCCACTTGAAGAAACAAAAGAAATTCTGATTTTACAGGGAAAGTTTGATTTGAGTACTCTAAAAGAGATTATATTTTAAATGACACTGAATTGTGTGGACTAACAAGCTGTATTTTTTGGCGATAATAAACTGAATCCGGGGAAGGGTCTGGATCATTGTTGGGACCATTCCAGGCCACTTCTCTGACAGATGGCCTGCCTTTCTCTCTCACCTTTCTGCTGTTCTCATTCTAAGTTTTAATTTACACTTACAAACTTTTCATTAAATTCAGATAATTTCTTTCAAATAAGACAGCTCTCGAATTGTTTCACTTATTAAAAATAAGCACAGGTTAATGTTTTTGTTGGCATAAAATTTTTCTGGGTTAAGAACTAAGTGATGAAGCACAGGATTACATATCTGAGTGCGGAGTGGAAAAATTCTGCCTTCTAGCCCGTCACTGATAGTGTGTCCAAAAAGCTAGCTCTCTGGAGATGAGCACATACTTCTTTTAGAAAGGCTGGCAAGATTAGAGATGGCTTAAGAGATCATCGTTGGTTTCAGGTCCTTAAAACCACAACCTCCAAGAATAGTAACTAACAGTGATGCTCCCTCTATAAGGAGTAAAGAAAATGCATGCTCTTAACCTCCTAAGACTAACATCTTTTAAAGACCAATCAAGAAGGTAAAAATATTCTACATATGGAAGAGTGATTACAGCAAGAGTTTTAATTAATTTTTATGCCACAAAGCCCAGTGGCAGAGTTAAAACTTAAATTTCTTTCTTCTTAGAGATTTTTGTCCTAGACTATCAACCTTCCATGCACACAGAGGGAGCAAAAAGCTGTTAAGAGCCTAGCTTGGGGTGGGGAAGGGAAGTCCCTCAGAAAATTTTGGGCGGAAAACTCCAGTTTTATAAGTCAATCCTGCATAAAAGGCTACGCTGGTGTACTGCAATCGCAGTAGTTTCAATCACTATAACTTAAACAATGTCAACAAAAGAGTATGCAACTTTTACTCTATCCTAATAAAAATTTCCTATGGGCCACTTTAGGAATTATTTCAATGTATTAGATTTTTAAAAATAAATATGGTTTACAAATATAATATTAATACTTTGGATAAAAGACTCAAGTCTACATTTCATATAATAAAAATAATCCTGTGCTTGCTTAACTATTAATACATCATTTTAATCTCAATGTGCACCTTTGGACATGCATTATACTTCTCGCATCTCAGTATTTGATTTCTAAATTAGTGCTAGGATATTTGAATCAGCATTCTGACACTCTATGGAAGATGAGAAAGTTGACATATCTTAAATCCTTGATTGTACAGTTCCTGGAGAAAGAGGATGATCTAATATACATAAGCCTTTCACCTTCCAGAACCGCAGAGAGGAGTAAGCTTGTGGCCGGGGCTCTGCTGGACACCACCGAGGGAAGTCACAGGCAAAAAGAGCCAGAGGCATGTCACAGAAGGGCTGTCGCCAAGGCCCACAAAACCCAAACCTCACAGGAGGTGAGACCAATTGGCTAAAAAACCAAGGCCATGGCCCACAAAAGAAGGACAGAATGGCTAGGCAGGGAATGATGATAAGTTCACAGAACAAAGAGGGAAACAAGGAAAAAGTGAGACAAACTAAGAAGCATGGACAAAATTGGACAATTGAGTTTAACTTGCCTTTACACCATCTCAAGTAAAACAACAACAAAAAACCCTACCTATTTAAGCATAGAAACCAGAAGAGAAATATATGAAAATGTAAAATCTATAAATAATTCATACCCTCAAAGAAAAGAGTCAACCAAATTTTACCAAAAAAGTCAAGGAATGTGGGAAGAGTTGGGTAATACACAGATATGCCAGAAGGGGGCGCCTCAACATCGCTTAAACAAGTCTAATTTTTTTGTAGGTTTTATTTTTCTTTGCCCTTTTTTCTGGGGGTAATCTCATCTAATACAACGTGTTTAATATTTTCATTATGTTTTTATTGGCATATTTCATTCTGAATATGAAACTATCAGGAAGTTAAATGACCCATGAGCTTTTGTACAACAGAGCACACAATTCGAGTATCTAGGCCCTATCAGAGCGCTGTGTGAGATTTCAGGATAATGCAGTGGTGTATGGGTTTTAATTTCCTGGCATCGTTTTTCATTTTAAATTTCTGTGCAGCTTAAAAACACAACATGCACGTTTGGGCATTTGCCCTATGAATGTTAGGCAATCAAAAAGTGTTAAAAAAAAACCCAAAACACTTGAACTGTGGTTTTTAAAAGTGAACATTTCAAATGTACATAAAATTATTAGAAATGATGACTATCTTATTACCAGTTTTCTAAATGCATTAATTACTATGACACATATGAGAATTTAAAATAATCTCTTTAGGCTCATAATAAGCCTACGAAGCACATGAATGCTTATTTTGCTCTGTTTGTTAAGACAGAATCATTTTACTGGGCCCATTAACGCAGTGCTGATTATATTACTACAGTTTATTTTTTTCTTTCAAGTCCTATTTAAATAATAAATCCAGTGACCAGTCTGGGTCAAGGCTTCAGGAAATTGATCTATGATAGAATTATTCTGATTTTCCTTAATTTCACGTCACTAAACTTCAAGAACTTCCTTACTTAATTCAAAGGAATAAAAGTTTAGCTTGAGGCTATGAGACAATATTAAGGAGTAGCCCCACGGTGAGCACCTGTTTTTCAAATCAAACTACCTGTGACTGTTTAGCTGTAAATAAGAAGGGAAAAATAGTGGCAAGAAAACAGAGTGTGTATATGAGTGGTTGTGAGAGTGTGTTTGTGTGTGTAAGAAGAGACAGCAAGGTAGCTGATTTAAGATAAAGGAAAAAAAATGAGTCCTGCTTAAGCTAAACTTACGGTTTAATTACTATATGTCAAATAAGTAACATTTAAAGAATGGAGAAAATCTGCTCATATACATAATTTATTTAGCAGGAGAGATAAACAGGAGCCCTGCTGGAAATGGTGAGTGAGCTTATGCAGAATATCGAACTCATCCTTGCAGGTGCAGGTCTAATTCTACTGGTTTTTCCATTCTCTCTACATTTCCCCTCACTCTCCTCCCCATCCTCACCCCTGAGCTGGTAATAATTTCTCTCTTCTATGAACATACAAAATTCTTTATCTGTGTCTCTCCCATGGCACTCAGCTTTCTGTCTAACAGTAGAGCTGTATTTCTCTCCAATATAGATTGTTAAGAGTTTATGTCTGTTTCCGACTAATATCCCCTGCCCCACAAAGCCATGAGTTGGGCAAGATGAGTTGTTGAATGAATAAATGAAACAAGTGTTTCAAAAACTCCCTCATTCAAAGATCAGTCTATTTGTAGATTGTCTTGCAGAGATTATCCTGTCCTGATAACCAGTCATCTGAATTTTTTCTCATGAAAAATCTCCTAAGCTCAGTTTCCAGGTCTGAACGTATTAGACTCTGAAATAAAAGTTCCATGAATCTCAGCAGACATCCTGGCTGCCTTTTTCAGACCTGTATCCATAGTAATGAGCTTCATGCCTAACACATAACAGGTACTTGGCAGATATTTAAGGATGGGTACAAGAATCATTTCTCTCACTGTAAGACCGTCTTTCAGTTAAGCAAAGAAAGCAAGCCCAATGCTCTAAAAATTGTCCCAAATGCTCTTATCATTTAAGTGCATGCTCTTCATATAAAAAAATCAGTCTACTTATTAACCTTCATTATTTAAACTTAACTCAAGGAGAGATTTCTTCTCTGTGCAAATATGAGGTTTTGAAATTTGGCTCTCAATTTTCCCTTGGAAATTAAGAATCTCAACTGGGCATGATGTTAAAGATATACAAAATTAAGGGCAGCAATATGGTAGCTTTGAAAAAGTATCATGAGCTTTAGATTAAAAAAAAAACCTATTAGTGCTTACACTCATTTCTACACTCAATAAATGATCATCTCTGAGTGTGGAGCTTAGGCATCTCTACTTTAAAAACACTCAGGTGATTCTAATACAAAACCCAAATTGAGAACCACTGAAAAGCTTCTCACTTCCTCAGTTTCCTCATTATTCTTCTGGGGAAAATATTACCTATAATGCAATATTATTGTAAAAAATTAAGCAAAATGTCTGTACACTGGGGCTCAAGATGAATATGCCCATTCACTCATTCTCTGGTCAGAATTTAAAGATCAATTTTCATGTGCACCATCTGGGGGATGGTCATGATGGAGACTCAGACTTTGGGGGGAGAGGGGGAAATGGGCATTTATTGAAACTTTCAAATCTGTACCCCCATAATATGCCAAAATAAAAAAAAATTCCAATATCAATTAGGTAAAAAAAAAAATAAAGATCAATTTTCAATAAATATAAGTTAGCACCTACCAATTCATTACAAATGAAAAAGCAAAAATGATCCAAAAGAAGCCAGAAAGGGTTTTTAACTTAAAAGTGAAGGGGAAAAAAGAAAGATTTGGTAAGAGGCACAGAGCAAAGGAAAGAGCAGAAGTTAAGTTTTCAGGCTGAGAACAAACTGAGGCAGAACTGCCCACCCAGTTTAGGCGTGGAAGACCTATAGGCAAACTTCCACATCCTCCTCTACCCATCCCAGGAGGCAGAACTCAGGGACTGTGGGAATTCAAACTCCTGACAAACTTCTAGCCAGTTTGCCATCCTTAAAAATCTCTTTGAAGAATAAGTTTTAGGAAGAACGGGGAATTTAAAAGGAGATAGAATTAGAATAAAATATTCGAAAGAACTGAAATAAAAGGGCAATTTTTATATGAAGCGGGACAGTGAGCAAGGTATAAAAACGACAATTTTACCACGAATAACAACTAAAGAATATGAATGAAAGTCAAGTTACGTCATGTTCGGTTGAGTTGGTAATAATATGTATGCTATTTATTGACAAAGGTTATTTACAAAGGTAGCTGCAGATATTGAACAAGGGAGAAAACATGAGGAAACAAAACTGATGTTGTAATCAGCTTTGAAATGCCAAGAGAGGTCGCTGAATAGGATCTTCTACCGAAGAGGAATCAGTAAGAACAACACAAAAAGTAGGCTGTGTCCCTGTCACAACGCTCGCTCACAGACTTGTAGTCACAGAGTGCAGCTTTTTTAATTTTAAAAATGTATTAGAAAATGTATTCCAATCACAAGGCAAAGTCTAGAACAAAGAGAATGAAGATCTACATAAAAGATCAAATCTGGGAACGTGCAAAAGTATTTGGAAAGACTGTTTCTGCCCAGAAAAATTTTCTGTTGCCCGAGGCATAGCAGATACAAATTGCAAGTAGGGAATAATGAAAACCAGCAAACATCTTATGTGACTGACACAGCCACATGAATATTGAAAACAATGCCTTTATTATTGTTGTTGTGATACAGCACCATAGCTTCCTGTGAAATCCCTGGAGTTTTCACTCATGGAAAAAATGCCAAATAATTACTGCAGAAATTTTTCTATTTTTAGAAAGATTTTCACAATGATTGTTATCTCTAGAAATCTTAGAATTTTTAATAAAAAGAAGGCAGCCTGGCTTAATACTCTCTGTATAGTGTTCTCTATAAACATCTGTAAATGTTGTGGTGGAGATGATTCTAGAGTCAGGAGCCCTGGGCCTGGTCCCACTGCCACCTCCGCCCTGCAGGGTGACCCGGGCAGCTCACCTCACCATTCTGGTTGTAGTCAGTTAATCCATAAGGACAGAAAAATTCTACTGCTACATAACACATCTAATTCGTTCCCAACTTTAAAAAAAGTCCTTTGGTTTCAGATATCACTCCTAAGGAAATACCAAACCACACATAAATCTTTCGTTCTAGGCCTTATTTCCTTTAGACAACATCAAACCCATAAATAGCTATGCTTTCTGAAAAACAAAATGCCTCCCCTCCTCTTTTTTTTTTATTTTTTATAATTTTTAAGTAAAGGAACTCTTTATCAAGAAAGTTTCCATCTAGTTCTCCTCGACTCCCAGAATTTAAGACAGGATGATATAAGGAGGGCCTTTTGTTTCATGATCACTGTTCTTTAATGATACTTATTTTCAGTTAAAAGATTTACATATCTATTAAATGTTAAAATTACTTTTTATAACTAAGCTGCCAAAGTATTCATTAACTTTCAACATAAGGAAATTTTAAGAGCATTTTAGTCGAATTTTAACTAAAAATTACAGTAAGTGTTTTAATACATATTTTCCAAGTATTACCTATAACATAATTGGATAAAAATATAAGTATTATCAGAAAATATATTTTCCCATTGGGTTTGCATTGTGGGTATACCTCACATCTCCCTTCCCGTAAGTCACACTCTGTTTCATTTAACGTGACTACAATCACTTTGTATTTTGAAGGAAAATGTTTAAAATATGAACTAGCATGAGTCTAGAATGGAGATTAAGATATATGTGGTATGCAGATCTAACTAAATATATTTATTTTATTTTCATCTTTTAGGCTATTTAAGATATTTAATGACACAAAATTAAAAGATATCTATATTAATCCTAGCTGAGTGTCCTCATTTTTTTATTTATGCATCTGATTCTCAGGCCAAATTATTAGTCGTGAATACTATACAGATGAACTTACACACAAGGTGTCAAAGATCAAAACGTGCAAATAATTTGGAAAAAAAAGAAGGCAAATGATTTCTCTTCATCTTTAGAAATTTCTCACATTAACATTATTTTCAGTGCAACACTCTAGGATCAGCTGCAGTACATTTTAATTACCTTAAAACTCTCATATGATAAGCATAAATAATAAAAGATCAAACTCTAAAAACATTTAGTTCAGACATAGGAGCAAACAGGGACAATCCAAATGTGCAAACCCCAAACCTTGGTAAACAAGCAAACCAAAAAAACCCAAGCAAAAAAAGTAAGGAAGAGAGTACTGAAAAGTTTTCCGCAAATTCAAAATATTCAAGATAATTAAACTGTAGTTTGACAAACAGCAGGAGAACAATCCACATGCACTTTTCTGGACTTCATTTTCTAGGCTTGCTCATTACCTCTTGTATCAAGCATGCAGGCAAATATGCTCTATCTTCAGCTGCACAGAACAGAACGTTCAATACTCTCACTGGCTTATTAATGAGAACATCAGAGAATAGGTACAAAGCCACCTACCATTGTCACTGTCTCCTTCAGATGGAACACTGTAGCTAGAGCTGTCCCATGTCTGTGCCTGTGTAAGTGTGTTGAAGGAGATAGGAGGAAGAATGAGGGCTGGGTCTGCAGGGGAGCCAGAGAGCCAGTCCGCGTACAGTTGCACAAGGACCAGGAAAAACCAAAGGGGCAGCAGCATTTCACAAATGGCATAGGGTTTATATGGAAATGAAGAGTGGATTTCATTTATATGGGGTTTCATTTCAAATGTACAATATAGGAGAAGAATGAAAGATGGCGCATGGAATAAAAAGAATGATAAAAACTGAGTGTTAGTACTCATCAACATACACTTTGCATGCAGTTAATATTGTTAATCTTAACAGTTCCGCAAGCCCACAGCCTTAGAGCATTAATGAATCAGGTCAGCAGAAGGAAAGAGTACCCACAGGTTAAGTAGATACAAAGTAAAAGAGCTACCAGATACCTTTCTCTAACACTTTCTAAATAACTGACAATCTTAGCAAATATGATTAACACAAAAAATTCAGTCACATAGAACAAAGCTTAATACATGTAAATATATCTATTATTTAGAAATAAAACTATTATGGAACCATTGTTTACCATTAGTGATTTCTTTTCCCCAAGGCAAAGTAAAATTTCTTTTTAAAGACATCTATAGGTCTGCTGTCATGCATTCTTGACAGCTGAATCTAGCCAACTGTTTCCTCAATCCTTGATATATACCTTTCAATAGTGTTTTCAATATTGCTCAGTAAAATCAAAACAAAACAAAAACCCAAACAATTTTGGATACTAGTAGAGTCTATTTAACAACAAACCCAATTAAACAATAGATGTCAATCAATTTTAATAACTTCTGAGTTGGTCATTTATGAAACAATATCCCTTATTATTTGCAGTAAATATATATATATAATAATTCCATATTTAGAAAATAGCTATATAATTTTTTATTCCATCATAAGGCAGGGCCAGTAAAACAAATGGACATGGTTCTAGGAATGAATAGTTTGGTATGTGCAGTTGTCTTTCTTTGGAGAGAAAAAAGAAAAGAGAAAAATATTTATTGTGAAGAAAACTGTCAGCCTACTTTAAGAATCTAAGTTCTTATTCCAACTTGCTAATTTGAGCAGTCTGTTTTTACTGATAACAGAAATCACATAAATCCACATACTTAATTTTGAAATAAAAATTAATTGGCGTTAAACATTCTAAAACAATCAAAAATCTATCTTTTTTAATCATAAGATTTCCAATTGAGACAACCATGTATATTATTTCCCAGAAAATGTGAAAAATAGATACTATACTATTTTAAAATAACTAAATCAAATGGAAAAAAAAAATCCCAATACAAAAATTCTAGTTTTATAATAAAAGTTCCAACATGCCACTCGATGCTCCTGAAGATAAATCAACATTATTTATAGCAACCAAACTCCACAGAGCTTTCAACAGCGAGAACAATTTCCACATTTGTTAGTCAGCATTATAGAAAGGCTGGAAGCTTGGAAAGGAAATTATTTTTGTTTTCTGCTATTTAAAATAAATACTCCATTTATTCCTCATCACTACCAAAAATTTGAAATGATTTAACAGTGCCAGTACAATGTAAGCCTTAACTTTGATAAATTGAGTTTAGACTCGATATAAGGAATAAAAAAAGTCACTGAAATAATTTTACAACTAAATTGCAAGTTGCACATTCAAAAGAATGTTATTCTTTGGAGATCCATTCACCTTTTGATTTTCTCCATTATGAAATATTTTAAAATTGTGCAGAACTTCCTACAAGGATGAGGAGGAAGTCTATGGCCCTATATGACGTCCCCAGTGTGCAGAGGTCAGTCTCCTGTGGGTCATCACCGCAGGCCTGGATAAGGTGTGCCCACACTCACCTCCATTCCTGCCAGAACACACCTGAGACCATGGAAATGGGAGCCCAGCTCAGGGCCCTCAGCCCAGATCTGGTCATGATCGCTTAGTTCCAAACACGAAGAAGCCAGCCATTTGGCTCTCATTTCATGTACAATTTGGCTCTCACTAAAACACCCACTAACTCTTGTCACACCCAAGCATCTTCTCAAATGGCTTTTGTCCTACAGCCCGTTCAAACTGCTGGGAAACCATCACACTTGGCCACATGTTACCCATCCATCAACTTGCTCCAAGGATGAAAAACATTTCCTTTATTAAAGAATCATCTTTTGCTTGTTTGTTTTTCCTACAGGTACTTTTGTTCCAAATATACATGTGTATACCTTTCATTGTTGTCAAAATGCCTTACTGGAAAACCTGAGAACATCTGAGTTCTTGACCAGCTTTTGCTAAAACATGTCTGAATCCTTTATCAACACTTGCTTAAAAGCATTAGCAGTGAGTGTAGGCGAATTACCAAAGAGTCAAAAATATTAAAACAAAGAAAGACCTAAAAGAGGGAAGACAGCACAAGAACTTTAAATAATTGCAAAAAGCAAAAGAACCAAAGTTTTCTACACAGAGTCCTTCTTTTGAATGTCAATAGTTGTTCTGCACATTGCTTCAATTTACTTCTATAAATAAACTAATAACAAACTAAAGTAGGCAATGCTTTCCCAAAAGACTTTTTTTTAAAAATGACCCCTGACCACTCATGTAAGCCTTGACATGATCACCCTGTTAAGTGAGTAAACACATAGAACCTACCAGGCTCAGAAAGCAAATGAGAATGTCTCAGCAAGGAGATACTCTCCCAGAAGAAGGCTGTACTTTATCTCAGCATAGCACCAGGAACCGCTGGGGCAAAGGGGCAGTTACTTTATCTTCCTTGTGCAAAAACTTACATGCCCCACTTACTAGCAATGCTCCCCTCTTTTTTTCCTTTGCTTTGATTCCAAAGTAAAGTATGATATCCATTACTGACAACATGGACTTCGCTGATTCACTGAAAACAAAGGTCTAAACTCTAGCCTCCCCCAGCTGTAGCAAGGTTCTGATGCCAGGATTTCAACTCAGCAGAATCGACAAGGATGTTCACATCGATAATGCATACATTTAAAAGGCTCAAGAGAAACCACTGAGTTATTTAAAGTGTCAGAATGGGCTGAGGCTTTCATTTACCTGATCGAGGCTTCAGGCCAAAAGGAGCTGTGCTGTTTGTGGTAGGAGAGACTGCAGGGGAGTTCTCTCTGATCTGTGGCGTTAGAAGGAAAGGAAATTAGGAAAAAAAAAACCTGAAGCAAAACCATGTGTGCTTTTCTATGTTCAAGGATTATAATAAAACCACCACCTTTTTGCATTTGCTGCATTAGTCCTGGCTAAAAAAAGATCACTTTGCAAATGTTTTAAGTGGCATAAGCAACAGAATATTGTTTTGGGGTGCCTTATTCAATTTTTTATTGGCTCATTATAAAAATATTTTACAATCACATGAAATTGGCAATCCTCTTCTCCTCTAGCACAGTTGTGTGCATGGGTGCATGTGAGCGCACGCACACACACACCCATAACAGAAGGAGGGCACATCTGATAAAAACTCTCATAACACACTGAGATGAGGAAACAGGTAACACTGAACAGATGTCTCCTCTACAGAGAAACCACATGCTGAATCATTTATGGATAACAAGACATTCTAAATCAGGGGTCCTCAAACTACGGCCCACGGGCCACATGCAACCCGCTGAGGACATTTATCCGGCCCTCCGGGTGTTTTTTTATTATTTTTTTTTTTTTGCCACCACTGCCTGTCCTGCTTAGCAGCCGACTTGTCCCGGGCCCACAGTGCGCATGTGTGGAATGTGCGCCGCACTCTCCAACAGCCCTCCAATGGTCTGAGGGGCAGTGAACTGGCCCCCTGTCTAAAAAGTTTGAGGGCCCCTGTTCTAAATGTTGCCTATTTGAGCGATTTTCATTCTGTCTTCTTATAAAGATGTTCACATATTTGGTTTTCAAAAAAGTATCTTATAAAAATCTTTAATTATGAATAGGGCCAGGTAAGACCATGGTAGCTATTGAGAGTGAGATGGATCCCCCAGAGACTCTTTGCTAAACTCATTAATCACAACAGTCTTAGATTATCTGTTTCTGTAAAAGATATTCCAATTCGGGCTTCAGACACACCTCACCTTCCATTAATCATCAGGAAACTTACCTCATTTGGAGAATACTGGCTCCCATTACTCTGTAATGTTAGGTCACTTTGCACCTTAAAGAAGGGGGAAAAGCCACTGTTATGCTCCATTAGCCTGTGAAACTGATGAGACAAGAACTGTGTCTTTCTTCTTCCATCACACCCCTGGCCCATAGCACACGGTGACTATATACTGAATTAGCGTGTTAAGTAGCTAAGTAGGTCAACTTGTATTTTCTGAAAACATGCAGCTGTATTCATAGAAAAAATACATTGAAAGTATTATACAAACTAAGATAAATAAACTTTCCAGAGCGAACAGTTTACTCCAAAGTATTTGTGGACATCAGCTCACCTTTCTAGGTTACCAACCTGCCTGTTGGCTCCCACCCCCATTTTAAGTATGGGTTTTTTGAAGCGGTAGAATGCAGTTGTTCCTAAATATGCAGAATCACACTGGGAGCTTTTAATGAATATATACACATGTCTGGACCCTAAACGACCTGGGTAAATCTCACGTTGTCAGTTCAACATCAATTTGCTTTGGCAACTACTGGTTAAGAGAGAATTTTTCTGCAGTAAAGCATGTAGAATTTGTAACTGGCTACAGAGGACAGTGAAGATGACATGCTGGTTTCCAGAAAGAATGACTGGGGTGGGGGCAGTGGCATCACTGCATACCACTGAGAATACAGGAGCAGTTTAAGTGGAAGCTGACAGCTTCAGTTCAGCTATGCAGAGAATGAGATATTTATGGAGCATGGAGATGAAATCTGAATACTGGGAAGGGGGAGATTTGGGGCATGAGCTACAGATTTGAAAGTCATTGTTATTTATAGGGTAGCTGAGTCCCTGAGGGTGGCCAGATGGGCCATGGAGACAGCAAAGAGGGTGAAGAACAGTTGCTGAAGCAGGATCCTGAAAACCCAGCGTGAAAGGGACACAGAGATAAGAGCCCCAAAACAGACACACTCTAGTTCTTACCCAGATCTGTCTTCTTTATCTAGTAATAAAGAACCCCACTGATGCATCATAATAAAAAATTGGGCGATAGCTAACATAAATATCCTCACATATGCCACCGAATTAGTATAAATATAAGATGCCTGTTCCTATTCATTGTTGACTGCTATTAAAAAATATTCCGAACTTGGACACAAATCTAAGGGAAAAACATATTTTCAGAATAAAATGTCATTAATATCCCTATCCAATGAAATGGCTTTGTGAGAACTGCTCACAAGTAACTTCAGGTTTGATTCTTTCTAGAAGCAACCTCTTCCTCTCGTTTTTTCCTGTCCTCCCTCACACCTCCCTTGCCCTTTAATATTATTTATATAGGAGCATGTAAGTTGTAATTCTTCCTGGAAGGGTGCCACTGCTACCCACATGTGATGTGGACAGTCACCTAAAGTATGTTTAAAGTCTGATAATATGATGTGCTACCAATTACAAACCGCTTCAGAATCCGGGCCTCCCCTTCCCGCCCGGCTCCCACACTGCTGATTCTCCCACGCCCAACACTCTCCTGGCCTTAGGTCCAAATCCAAAACTGCCCGAAGGTCTAAGTCAACAGCCGTCTCCTTAAACTCTCTATCCATCCCCAGTCTCCCAGAACACCTAAAACAGACTTGGGACTGCAGACTAGCTCATATTCTTCTCTAAATTTTTTCAAGATCCAAATCTTCTTTCCTCTGCAATTCTCAAAACTCCTTAAAAGTGAGGAAAACTTCATAGCTTTCATATTCCAGTCCTCTACACCAAAATCAAAGCCGAATCCAGCACAGTCACTCAACAAATACTGGCTAACTGATGCAAGACTATGCTGAGAAAATATAAAAATAATCATATCATAAATTGAGGATCATCTTTAAGTTCTGTATCATCCATATCACTGGCTACTTTCTTTTCTTTTCCTTCTCCTCGTGACTTCCTTCCAGAGCCAGGTATCCCCCCAACCCTTTTGAAAATCACAGAGACATGTCTGTCAATTGGGCATTGCTCCAGAGAAGGAAGATAAAGAGTAAGAATCCCTTATACCAAATAGATTTTTCATTCAAACAAAAATGAAAACAAAACAAAACAACTTATGCTATACTAAAATAACATAAAACATTGTAAGTTGGAGATGAAGTAGAGCTATCTTTTTTTCCTGGAATATCTGTGTCTTCCTGGTACTCCTGAAATCACGGACACAGGTATATGCTTTTTCCAAATTCTACTAGAGTGAAAGTTCAAGGACATTTTAAAGTAGCAGGCTTAAATAAAGGTGCCGAGGTAGGTGGGACCTGGTATATCCTGTGTATACAGAATAGTAATAGCATCTGCTGGATGAGAGCAGAAAATTCACTCTGGAGGAACATGTGCCGTGGCTGGCTGGAAGGCCCCATCAGCACTGAGCACTGGGCCTTGCAGAACTGCAACTTTCACCTACTGGTTAATGGCAGGTCGGTTGATGGAAGAAACGGACTCAGTGTTAAGGGCAAGCTGGGGTAGCCTAACTGACCAAATGATTGACACATTATTTGGAAGTCAAATTTCCTACTTTAGGAGGACACTGGGCTTTTCCACATACTACAATGACAGCAAGCATGGTTCAGCTTCAGCAAAACCCCATGAAGCTTTATGAGCCCACAAAAAAGTGTCAGATGAGTTTCAATTTAGACAATCACAAGAAAGTGCATTTAGAGGAACATAATACACAGTTTATCTCAGTGATGGAGTATTTTCAGCTTGTAGTTAAGACCCAGAGGTTTGTATATCAAATAAGCAGGACACTGAAATTCTGCTTATGCAGAATGCCCATTCCTTATGGTCTAATATCCCCTTTCTTTCTCTTTCTTCTTCCCTCTCTTCCTCAAACCCTCACTAACTACTCACTGTCAACTAGGTTAAGTGCCAGGTCTCACTTTGAGTGAAAATGCTAAGTGTTTGTACTATTGTGATGGAGAAAGACAAACAACAGGAGAAATAAGGAGGAGATCAATCAATAAATAAAAATCTGCTTCGAAAATCTAGAATTGACTGCAAAGATATACTTTACCTTTGCTGATGGGAAGAGAATGCTCTACTTTAAAACAGTATTGGACATTAAGGAAATGTAAGCTTTTAAACATTCTTTCCTAAACAACCAAAATGCTTAAAATCAGTAGCAATTCTTAAGAACCATTGGAATTGGCTAGTAAATCACTGTATCAACAAAAAACACCCTATGTATTGCTATTAGATTAAAAGATGAGATGAATACTAGACCTAGACAAATCTATGAACTGGGCTCAGTCTGTATTTAATATATACCCATCCACATTCCTGGAAACATTGCTCATGAACACATAAGTATTACAGCTTCCCTCTTTTGCCAAGACCTGGTCTTAAGAAAGATTCAACGCAATCGGCCCCACTAAGGTTTATAAGCATGATAAGACTTAGTGTTACCAGTAGTCCATGGCACAGAGAGGCAATATGTTGTAGTGGAAAAGCAGGGCCTAGCCTTTTACCAAGTAAGTGCCTTGGCCAGTCACCTGACCTTCTCAACCTTCATGGTCTACACCTATAAATTGAGCATGATAACTCCTACCTTTCACTTACACCTTATCTAGAATGTAAACTCCTAAGTGTACGCTCTTTGTTTTTTCACTGCTACTTCCTCAGTGTCCAGACTGACACCTGACACATAGCAGGCAATAAATGAATATTTGTTGAAGAAATGAAATAATGATAACGAATGTAAAACATGAATCACATGGTCTGGCATGTAGCAAGGCCTCCTTTTATAAAAATGAAAATCAGGAATATAAAAATTTTAATAGGAGACAAAACTATTGGAATGACCATACAATTATATATCAGAGATGGAGTGGATTTTTTCCCTAGAAGTTTTATGTCTTCCTTGTACTCCTGAAATCATGCACATAGGTGGCTACCTATTTTCCTAGAGTCAAAACTGGGTCTACAGCCAGATACTAAGATGGTCTTGAACTATCTCTTTACAGACTGCTTATTAGTGGTAAGGAAAAAAATAAAATAGTAATTATACAGTGGAAAAATGGGGTTTTCCCCATTTTTCACTGTGATTCGGTGATCAAATTAACATCACCAATGAGGGACAGAGGGACATAGTGTTCCCCTCAATGTGATACGCTAAGAACACAACATCACTTGTGCAGTATCCCAAATACAAATGAAGAACCACAGCCCAATCATGAGGAAGCATCAGACAAACAAAAAATGAGGAGCATTCCATTAAAAAATGGGGAGGCTTAAGTTCTTTAAAATTTTATGGTCATAAAAACCAAAGAAAGGTTATGGAAACGTTCCAGATTAAAGAAGGCTACAGACACCTGACAACTAATAGCTGCCACCAGAATGGATATTATACTGAAAGAAAAAAAAATGCTTTAAAGAGCATAATTAGATCAACGGATAAATATGGAGTATGGATAATAGCTTAGATGAGAATATGTTATCTATGCAAATTTATGAAGTTGATAACTGAAATACAAGATAAAATCCCTATTCTTAGAAAATACACACTGAAATGTTTAGACATAATGGACTATGATGTGTGGAACTTCCCCTCAAATATTTCAGAAAAAGAACTATGTGTATGTGGAGAAAAAGAACAAACAAATAATATAGCAAATATGGTAAAATGTTAATAACTGGTAAATCTGGGTAAAGGACTGTAATTGTTTGCAATGTTTTATAGAAGTTTGAAAATTTTTTGCAATCTTTTATATATTTAAAATTATTTCCAAAAAATAAAAAAAAGCTAAAAAAATGTGTCTACACAGAACCCAAATTGATCTCAAATAGAGAGCTTGATGAAATGGGTCCAGGGCAGCCTAAAATAAAAGGCTTCCTGATGTATCACTACTGGGTAATTCAATGATGCCTGCACTCAGGGAAGAGGTGGTACAGTGACTCTGCTCAAAGACCACACCGATAGCAATAATAGCATAGAGACCAACAGCTAACATTTAGGTGCTCTGTGGTGCGAGACTTTCCTTGAATCATCTCGTTTGATCTTTACAATAGGTATTATTATGATCTCAATTTACAGAAAATGAAGGTTACTTTTAGAAAGACTAATGACTAATTTGCCCACAGTTAGCAAGTCTTTGAGACGGGACTGATACCTAACATAATTCCAAGTTGCTGAGCTTAACAGTGAAACCACACTCTCTTGGAACATGGCTTTTCCTTTTACAGTGTTTTTTTTCCCTAATTTCTTTAACATAGAGACTTAGCCAGTTGAGAGTGTGAAACTGTTTTCTTTCCAACAGTGCATGTGCAGACATCTCAGGGGTGCGCATGTTGGTTTGTACACAATCTCAGTACCTACATTACCCATCCTAAGCCTATTCACTAAAAAGAGCGAAAATAGGTTGTAACCTGTTTCATTCCCAAATTATCAGCTCAAATCTCTCTCTATGACTGAGGTAACTTAATCTTTTTCTGGGACCTTCTAAGTTTATCTCTAATTTTATGTCAAAACTGCTTTCTCTATAGCCCCTAAGTTTCACTTCATGAAACTCTGCCTAAACCACCTTTACCCTGTCCCCAAATACACCTACCAGTGTCTCTTCATGGTATCACTGTAATTCTCCTAGACACTCCCAAATTGTTTGTTCTTGTCTTTCAGGTCTTTTCTAGCTTATTTTCATGTGGCCAGTTTCTAGACTTCTTTCTCGGCTCTAAAATCTGCATTGATTGGTCCTCCCTCTGGTTCCTGACACAGAACAGGCTCCTGACGTGATCACAGTTGCCATCGCCTGACTCAGCAAGACTATGTGACGTAAAAAATTTAGAGGCACCAATAGAAGTAGCCAACTCTCATCTTTAATGGAAGGTGAGGTATAATAGGCAGAACTAAAGAGGGTAAAAGTAGGAAAGAGTTGAAAAATGTGTCTTGAACAAATTTGAATATTGGCCTCACTAGTAAAGACGTTTTACCCCCTGACAAATGTTTACAGAATATGGCGGCCAGTATTCCACGGCGGAACACTGCACACAGCTCTGGTTCACCCAAGAGCAGCCTTACCTCACACCCCGGGGAGGTCTCCAGCTGCATCTGACCACTGTAGGAACAAGGAAAGGAAACACAAGATATAAAGTGGAATTTAAGGCATAACTACTTCAATGTAAAAAGAGAAAACCCACTTTGTTATAAAAGGTAAACATACTTTAGCGCAGAATCTTGTAATTCTAAGGCTTCTGCTGACCCTGCCGGATACAGGTTTAAAACACTTCTCTCTGTAATATCTGGGCTTAATCTAAAGAGTAGAGGGGAAAAAAAGATGTTAGTAAATTTACAAAACTTTTGTTTTTAATAAATTCTATTGGTCATATTTTGTTTGAAATTTTAATATATTAAAAAGTTATACTGATCTTTAAGTGATGAAAGGTTTGTGATGGAAATTTCAAACTGTATGGTGTTTTCCCACCATGTGCCAAAATATAATTTTCCATCTGTTGCTGGTATTGAAATCTGACTTATTCGTACTGTAATAGTAATTTGCAACAAAATCAAAATTTTCATAGGTAGCATATACGAAATTTTATTCTAGAACTTTATCAGAAGTTTATAGAAAAATTTAGCAAATTTACAGAAGCAAGTAAAGTTGCTAAGAGTATTACATTACAGTACATGGACAATGGCATTTTGTTTTGATAGGACGCTCTCTCTGATACACACTAATATTCCCACTTGAAAAGTAAGAATTCATAAGCAATTTGATATGCATTTTTACTTTTGAAATTATCTTACATATAGTTTCTGAATTTCTGCAATTTTAAGAGGTTAAATCTTATTTTTTTAAAGATCTCTAAAGCTAGCAATTTCTGTAAATTATATAAAAGTTACAAAGCCATCTTAAAGGATAGTGATGAATTCATATGATCTACGCCTATGAAAATCCTGCCAAACTAACAATTAGAGAAGGCTTTGAGAGAAGACAGCAAGAATGAAGGCAAAACAGAACAGCAATATCCAACTAAATTTTTTAATGTATAAAAAGTAAACCTCTAAAATTTAATCCTATAATCCGTGACTTGCCTTAAAAAAAAACTGAATCTATGAAATATGAGATAAAGGAAAAACTCAATGTAAACTTTCATTGCTAATATTCAGTCCAAGCAGCTAGAAATAAATGACCTCTTGATATGTCCTGTGTTTATCAGAAGCAAAAACAGGGCTCTTTATTGCTACTACACCAGCTCACAGAAATATTATAAAACTAGACTTGACATATTATAATTGTACCATAATTATTTCAGGATAAACAACAATGATCTGAAGGAGCCAAAGTAATGGATTTTTTTAGGGAGGAAATGAAATCCATATAAAGTCTTACAAAATTATATCATTTAAAAACAGGACACACTTGAAGCTCTGACTCAAGGGGGGAGGGGAGGCAAGGGCAATGTACATAACCTTAACATTTGTACCCCCATGATATGCTGGAATGAAAAAAAAAAGTAAAAAATAAAAATAGCACTCCATAAAGATGCAAATTCATTATCACTTGGAGGATTAGTCGGGGTTGTTTCTTCCACGATGCAGCACATGTGTGCCCACCATCCCCATTTGTTCGACATCTTTAGCAATCATTGCCTTGGAAATTTCAAAGCTGGAGAAGAGTCTAGAGATCCTCAGAGCACAACCCACTCCTCCATAGAGGATGAGGAAACTGAGCCATTTCCCCCAGATCACTCGTATCTCGCCACTGGTTCCAGTCCCAGACACTGGTGCCACCGCTATTTCCACCAAACTAGGCTGGTCTTTTTTGCTTTGGGGCTCATATACTAATCAATCCAGACTTTGTAATAACAGTTTATTGGAAAAGTAATACAAAATTTAAAAGACAGAAGTATTAAAATAACATCAAGTTTGAGTCCAACTGGGGCCTTCACCCTGTCACGTTGGGTCTCTAAGGCTGTGTGTCCTGGACTGATGACGTTCCCTTCCCATTGACATCCTTGCCCTTGGGCACCTCGTCCTCTCATACACCTTCTCTCACTGTGGCACCTTTCAAAAATGACTTTCAAATCTGAGTCTCTAAGCCCCGGAACTAAACATCTAGCAGTTCAATGGGCGTTGCTACGTTGTTACCTTGAATTCTATTCAGCATGTCCGAAACTGAACCCAACATCTTCCTCTTCAAACTTGCGACCCCTCCAGGTTCCCAATCTCAGATAATGAGGTATCAGGCCTAAAACACCCTGGACTGTTCTCTGCAATCCTTCTTACCACCCACTTTCCAACAATCACCAAAGAACAACAACAGTACCTACCACTGGGTATCTACAATGCAATAATTTAGAAATACCCACAAAAAATCCACCTTAATATATTTCTTTCCACTTTTAATTTTTTCTAAGATTTTTATACAACTGGGCTCTAATTCTATCTATAAAATTGGGATCAAACTTTGTACATTTTAACATACTTTTTAAAAGTTAACATTATATAACGGGCATTCTATAATATCACTGGAAACTTTAAAAAACATTTTATTGTCTATATCATGCTCCATCATATAAATGACCATAATATATTTAAAGTACTCCCAAAATTGTTAGATAATTTCTTTTGTCCCCCCCCAAATACTTGCTGTTAAAAATACCTATCCCTCACCCTTCCATCCCCAAATCTTTGTTCATGTCTTTTTGTCTCTTAGAATAAATTCTTAGCATTCATTTTAAAGGCTTATATTTGTTTTAGGCTTTTAAGATGACTTTTGGAATGCTTCTGCCAATTTACCTACCCATTAACAGTTTATATATTCCTCACAATCTTAAAAGGCAGACACTCATGACCCCATCTTACAGATGAGGAACCAGGGTACAGAAAAGTCATATAATCTACCCCAGTTCACTGATGTTGGAGCTGGGTTTGGAACCACTCTCTTGCTGATTCCTAGTTGTTTCCCCCACCCATGCTATTTCCCAATTTATGATAATTATACACACACATACATGCGTGTGCATGATGGCTGCATGCACAAATGGACACGAGTGCACATGTATGTACACACACAGGCTCTCTTTTGTCCTGTTTCCCTCTCACTAACTGCCCTGGTTTAGGATGTGGAATTCAGCTCTTTGAACATACCTTAACTAGATGCCTATTAAGCCAAGCCCTAAGCCAAACATTAGGGAGAATTAACAACATGAAGAGTCATATTTAAAAACCACCATTGCCAGCCTCCACATATTAAGACTCAGATCCTTAACACAGCATTTGAAGGCATCCGCTGGCCTACTCCACACGGCCTCTCTGATGACTCGCGGTCCTGGCTGCTCCTCCGAAGCACCGGCTGACTCTGAGTCCCAGGGGTAGTGCCTGGTGTCTTTTGTGGATAATTTTCACTAGTGATACCGAAGCACGCCAGGGTGGAAAACCTCTGTTCTGCCTGAGATTGTCCAAGCTCGTCCCCTTCTTTCATGCCCTTGCCTGAGCTTTTTATTCAATCCTGAATTTGCTTTCTCCTTGAAATTGTCAGCCACTGAAGGCCCAGGTTAACGATGTCCCCCTTCAGGATGGCCAGCCCAGCCATCTTGCTTTTCCTGAGGTCAGGCACACGCTGGAGTTTATCACTTTTTATCTCCACTACAAGCACTTGAGTCAATTACACTTATAAATAATGGCTCAAGACAGTCTCTAGCTGCCCTAGCTTAAGATCTTAGAAGGCAAGAGCCGTGTCTTGTTCATCTTTATATCCCCTAAGGTGCATGCTGTAGATCTTCTCATAATCTAAAGCATTCAATTAATGTCTGCAGAATTGAAATGCTTTTCAAGTCCATTGCTAAAGACTTCCAATCATACTCAACCTGCCCTGACACTTTTCTTTCAGGGCCAGACAGCATTGGTGGTGTTCAGTGAAACCCTGCGATTCACTAATAACCCTCTTCATAAATTTTGGAACCTAGCTAGCATGGCTGCAGTGAATCCCACATTCACCACATCATAAAACCACATCAGTTTACCAAGGATAAGCTTTGGGTCTATTCTGTAGCAGATCATGTAGTTACTACCTAATACCTGATGTTGCCTTACTGAAAAATATTTTTGTCCATGGGAATTCCATTGCCATTAGCTAAGAAATAACTATATCCACTGCATACAGTGCCTATTATTGACAAAGGCCAATTCAGACTTTAAAATTATCCTGTAACCCACATATTCAGACATACTTCACTTGGTTGACATATATTTGGCACCACTGGAAATACAGTGGTACTTGATATACCAATTCTTTCCTTTTTGGAAAAATTTTCTTTATATTTTTATAAATCAAGGGTTTAAACTTTAAGCATTATAAAATACGTACTCTTACCACATTTCTGTTTTGTAAGAATTACACAAAAAATTCTGATATGAATTCCATGAAAGGTGAAGAAAGGGTGGAAGAAAAAGGGGGAACTGATCTCAATCCCTCCGAAAGTTTGACTCTTTTACTTTAGGATATTGGAAAAAGAGGCAATGAAAATGACTTTTCTCTGTTAGTGGTTTGACCGAGCCCTGGTTGTTCGTATAAATATTTTAGCAACTGAGATAATGCATTCAATAAACTAGTAAACATCATTTTACACATGCAACCTGCACGGAGGAGAGACACGCATACCCGTTGGGATCCTGCAGCAAGTCTACTGCTTCTCTCAGCTGCTCCATCATAGCGATATCCATGTCCTCATCTTTGGATGAATTTATTCTGTAGCAGGAAACCAAGCATGAGAATAAAAATGATCACTAAAACACGAATATCATCTATGTTCCTAAGAGCAATCTTACAAAAATCCGTGTGACATATAAAAATGATTTTGATGAATTCAACATTACAATGAAGATGTGCCTGTACCCGCCAGGGTGGGATGCCACAGTATGGTGGGAGGTGTCCCCGGGTAAATAAAGCAGCTCACTGAAGATGTCAGCGCTCCAATGGGCCCCCAACTGCTCTTGTGCACAGTCAGCCTAGGGACCAGGCAGGTCTCCCAGCGTGCTGTCCTGAGCTCTAGCTGGCTTCAGGTGGCGGAGGCGGGGCTCAGCTGGGCAGGTCTGCGCTACTTCCAGGCCTTCCAACTCCAATTCTACCAGGGTGGCTTAGTTTTATTACTTTCATGCAGTTCAGGGCTTCAGTGTGGACCAGGGGTTCCCAGCCTAGGCTCCATATGCAGCAACATCATCTGTGGAGCTTAATAAACATGGCAGGCCTGATACTCCCAAGTCGGTCTCACTAATGGTGGGAAATTTTATAAAGCTCTACAGATGATCCTGATTTATAGCCAGGGTTGAGAACAACAGATATAAGATTGAGAATAGAGTTTCCAAAGCTTTATACAGTTTAGAAACAACTATCTCTTTCCCTAGGATTCTATAATCAAGCTAGGCCTCCTTGGCTTCCCAGAAGAATATCCAATGAGTAGCTAGTGACACAGACAGGGAGGGGAGAGGAACTTTCCAAAGTTTTTAAAGGGCAAGAGAGATTAGATCCTGGTAAGCCCTTCCCATTACAGAACATGAATCAATGATTTTCTATAAGTAGAGAAAATTTTTAACAATGTAATAAATCCTCACTAAAGGGAAAAACCCAACAAGGTATGATGGAAGGTCAATACCTACATCCCAGAATATGGAAAATAAAACCCTGGGAACCAAAAATCCACTCTATACTACATGGTCAAAACTCAATTCCCCTAGAAATGATTCATCATCTGATAAAATCACTCATCTTTTCCACCATAAATCTTGCCAACAAATCTTTATATACAGTAGAGAAGAAGGATATCCATCTGGTATGAGATTCCCTGGGTTCAAATGCTGACTCTCTTTGACCTTGGGACAAGACAATCAATCTCTCTGTGCCTCAGTTTTGTCATCTGTGAAATGGGGGACAAGAACAGAGCTTTTCTCTTAGGATTATTATAAAGATGACATGAGCTATGGCCTGAAAAGTATTTAGGACAGTGCCTGGTGCTTGATATTTAATAAGTGTTAGCTATGACAGTTATTAGACTTGGGGCCAGGGCATGAGATGTGTATAGTTTTCTCAGATCTCCAACTGGAAGGCTCTGCAAAGACTGAGACAAGCACTACAGATTGCTTTAGGTCCAGTTGTTGGTTTCTTTGGTCAAATGGAAGGAAAGCAGAACCTCTGCTCTAAAAACTCTGGCTAATTCTCTGAATCACATTTCTACCCATAGCCTCAAATCAGATAAAACTCAAGGCCAACAACGAAGCACAACCTTGCGCTTTACTGCTTGATACTGTGACAGTAAGCATCAGACAGAGAAAACGGGCAATTTGCTATCATCAGGTAAGAATATCAGCTTGCCCACTGAATAGTGCACCAAAATTCTATCATGGCAGGCTGCTTGCAAAGTGGACTTTACAGGGATGGTGGGGACCAGGCCCCTGGCACTCACGTGCCCTCGGCTTGCCAGTGTGTGTCCTCTTCTATCCGTAGCAGTTCTTCATAGTTTTCTGCCCTGGCCTGTGGACAGAACACACGGGTTTCCTGAGAACCTCTGGCCACTCAGCAGTCATGAGTCAAAACCTGTCCTGGCCCGTGTTTATGGTGGCATTATCCACAACAGCGAAAGGCAGATGCAGACAAACGTCCGGCCGTGAATGAATGGATAAACAGAATGTGGTGTGTACACACAGTAGAACACCACTCAGCTTAAACAGGAGGAAATTCTCATGTATGTTGCACACATGGATAAACCTCAAGAATATTGTGCTGAGTGAAATAAGCCAGTCACAAAAAGACAAATAGTGTGTGATTCCACGCATGCGAGGTACCCAGAGTAATCAAATTCATCAAAGTCAGACGGTAGAATGGTCACTGCCAGGGGCTGGCGGGACGGGCAGTGGGGAGTTGTTGAGTGGTACAGAGTTTCAGTTTTGCAAGATGAGAAGAGTGCTAGAGACTGGTTGCACAACATGAATGTACTTAACACAGACTGAACTGGACCCTTAAAAATGGCTAAGACATTCTGTTATATGGACTTGACCACAATTTTAAAAAATTTAAAAAACAAAATAAAAAACATCTGGCCAGGACAACAGCATCTGTTAACTTGCCAGCAAAAACTAAAAGGTTAGCTGGATTCCTTACTGCCCTCTTAGCGCCCCGTGGTGTAGACAGGTCGCTCCTGGAGTCTGCGAGTCACAAGTGAGTGTGTTGCAGTGTCTGTGAGAGGCGGGGTATGTGTGTGTGAGTGTGTGCGTGCACGTGTGTGTTGTTGGGGGGAAAAGTATAAAGTACTTAACGACAGAAAGATGCCTTCAAATTGCATCTGATTTTTATGTGTTTCATTTCCTTGAAGGTGACGCCCAGAGGTGTTCCTTAAGGCTGAGTCCTGGCATCACGACACAGGCCTCCGAAAACAAGGATGAGCACTTAGAGATCCCATTCTTGGCTTCAATGTAGTAAAAGCTGGAGATCATCTCCCGAGCCACAGTGAACCTGAATTTTGTCATAACAATTCAGCGCCAGATTTTAAAAGTCTCCACTTTTCTCTCTACACTACCGACATACTCCCAAGAAAAGCATTCCCCTAGGACACATTGAAAAGAATGTGAATCTCTGTCCGTTTTAGCTTTTAATGTTCGGTGATGGTAATTCTAATGGGTTTGCTAACTTGCATGATGTACTGAGTGATGGAAAACTGAGCAACTTCTGAATACAAAAGAAAATCATATACACAAGCAGACAGACAGAGAGGCACGCACAGCAGGGCCAGCTCCTAACATCAGAAAAGGAAAACAGACACGTGGAGCTTTGAGGTGTTCTGAAAACTTCACGGAGGAAGTCACAGCAAGCTGGACATTGAAACGGATGGATTAGTAATCTCGAACTTAAATTCTGAGCTGCCCAAAGAAGAAAACCAGTAAAACAATGAGATGATCCTCAAAACCTGCCTTATAGTTCACAAATTCCGAATGGAGAACATCTGCTCCATCAATAAACTGGTCTCTTTCCTCTCCTGAGTTGTCATTGTCACCCAAAAGGGAAGGCTTCGGTTGAAATTCCTGATGAAATTCCCCTGTTAGGAAAATGGAGAGAAAGGTAGAAAGCATGATTTCATGAAAAGCAAAGCAAAGCACAGATGATCCTCAAATATGTTATCTAATTATTTTAATCTTCTCTCTTCCCTAGGAAGAAGGTATATGAGTGACCCATGTTTTCTCTTGCAGGATGTGAGGAAAACACAACAACAACAAAAAACCCAGAAAGCACCAAACTGAACTTAAAAAGTCAAGGCCCCTTTACAGCTTAGTTCCTTAGGAAAAAATGAAATTTCCTCTTACTTTTTTAAGGAATGAAGAAAAGAAAGTACAAATGATGGCTTTTGTGCCCTCAGTAATATGTGATTACATATTTCAAATTCAAAATGCAACAGCAATTTATTGAACAGCTACTAAATGGTAGGTATTACGCTAACCACTTAGGGGTTTAAAAAAAGTCAAATCTGACTCCTGTCCTTCCTTAAGCAGCAAATAATCTCAAGGAAGAATGTGGGAGGGCACCAGACAAAAGCCCAAAATTGTAATAACAGAAGAAGTGACCGCAAGAAAGGCCACATCAAGGTGAAAGCAACTCGGGCAGAGCACATGCACCTAGAGTGTGTTCCAGAGGACGAGGTAGGCACAAGAGCACCACGTGGAACTCTTCTGGTCTATCTGAAGACTACAAAGGACCTAACAGGGTGGCCCTTTAAGTGCTCTGAGCCAACACAATACTCAGGTCTAGAACAGAGGGGGGGAAATCTCACTGGTAACAAATTAGGTAATTCTTTTATTTAAAAAAAATCTGCCTAAAATACTACCTCCTATACAGCATAATGTTACACGATTTATCTGAATTAACAGAGTGGTAGTTATATTTGTATATAAAGTATATAGGGTTAGATGGGTGCAGTGGCTCAGACCTGTAATCCTAGCACTCTGAGAGACTGAGGTGGGAGGATCGCTTGAGCTCAGGAGTTCGAGACCAGCCTGAACAAGAGTGAGACCATGTCTCTACTAAAAATAGAAAAAAAAAATTAGCGAGGCAACTAAAAATAGAAAAAATTAGCCAGGCATGGTAGTGCATGCCTGTAGGCCCAGCTACTTGGGAGGCTGAGGCAGAAGGATCGTTTGAGCCCAGGAGTTTGAAGTTGCTGTGAGCTAGGTAACAGCGTATGGTTCTAATCATAATCTCAGGTAAACAGAAATGTTAAATGCTAAACTTAAAGACCTAAATGTAAGAAGTGAAAGCAAACACTAAAGTTTGAGTTGATTTAAACAGCTCTCTTATCACTAATAAAAGTGTATCCAAGCTATTACGGAGCTAATTAGTATATGAATCCAGTTCTATACTATATTCACACACCATGAAATAGTCTCTGTCACAAATTAGTAAACACTAAATTTTAGTATTTTCTTTAAGAGTCATTGAGCTAACAGGAATAATCAAAATATTGCCATCATGTAAGCCAATGAAGGGTTCTCACCAAGATATGAAGTATATTACAAGAATTTTGGAGGTACATAAGATGGAGTGCTTAGTGATCATTTGATGATTATTAAAAAGTCATGGAATTTTAGAGCTACAAAGGACTTTTGAGATTGCCTAATTTAATCATCTCATTTATAGGTGAGGGGATTAAGGTCAACTGACTTGTCCAAAGTCAAGTAGCTTCCTGAACACAGACAGATCTCAGCTACATCTCCCGTCCTTACACGTAGTCCAGTATGGCCATGGAATGAAGTCTACCTTACAAGTAATGGGCACTCTTTCTAGATCCAGCCCACAAAGTCCTCCCATGAGCAAACCTCGATGCTCTTCCTCTTCTGGCTTAAAATAGATGGACACAGACATTTTGGGGGCCCTGTGTTAAAGACGATAGGGTCACAGGATGAATGAAAGAAGCTTGGGTCCTTGAATCAACAATTGGAGGCAACTTGCCTGCTAATCAGTAACTCCCATTTGGACTTAATTTAGGTTGTGTGAAGCCACTGAGGATTTTATGTGTTATAGCAGCTAGAGTTTTCCTAACTAATAGATCTACAATATAAATATTTTCTTCCCAAGCAAGAATGGATTTAAAGAATTTTCTCTAAATCTTCAGAATCAGAATAGCTCTACTACTTATTATAGTAAGTAGTAGTGGCTGTGTGACCAATGGCAAGTTACTTACACTCTCTGAGCCTTGTTTTTCTCTCCTACAAAATAGAGATGATCAGAGTATCCACCCCAGACTTTTGAATTTTAAATGAGATCACTTTCCCAGATGAACACAGTGCCTGGTGCATAGGAAATGCTAAGTAAACATGAACTACTATCGTTGCCATATCTGCGCACACGTTAAATTTTAAACATAACATTTGCAACTGAAAAACAAGCACTTTCTCCCCACTTTTCATTCTCAGACCTTTAACCGGGCTAAGGCGATGGCACGAGTCCTCCTTGATGATCTGTTCTTCTTCCATGATATTTGACATTGGCACATTGAGGCTGACGGTGTCTTCATCAGAGGGCTGAAACGATACGGTGCACTGTCTCATTCAAGGACAACTGCACTTATGTAAGTGCAAAACAGCAAAACTGATCCATGGTGTTTGAAGTCAGGATAGTGGTTATTCCTGGGGTGGGGGTGGGGCTTTCTGGGGAGCTAGAAAACTTCTATTTTTTGAATTGGGAACTAGTTACATGGGTGTGTTCACTTTGTGAAAATTCACGGAGCTAACACTTTTGCACTTCTGTCTGCACATATGTTTTGAGCTGAAATCTTGTCAGGTGCCTATTTTTTCTAACCTAAGAGTCATAGTCATGGCACTAAAAAGGACTGTGTAATACCTGACATAACAAAGGAATACTTGTGAATACACTATCACATTAGCACTAAGACTAATCATCTGTTCTAATGGTAACACTACTCTGAGATCTGACAACAAAGCTTATTTACCAAGATTACATTAAGACTTCAGGCCAGGCGCCGTGGCTAGCAGACAGGCTTGCACTAGCACTCTGGGAGGCTGAGGTGGGAGGATCGCTTGAGCGCAGGAGTTCGAGACCAGCCTGAGCAAGAGCAAGACGAAATCTCTACTAAAAATAGAAAAATCAGCCAGGCGTGGTGGCATGAGTAGTCCCAGCTACTCGGGAGGCTAATACAGGAGATCGCTTGAGCCCAGGAGTTTGACGTCACAGTGACCTATGATGATGCCACTGCACTCTACCCAGAGCGACAGAGCAAGACTCTGTCTCAGAAAAAGGAAAACAAAAGTTTTATGTGGCTAGACACAAAAAGCAGATAGTCAGCCTCTGTGACGATATCTCACCTATTTAGAGTGCATCTCATCTGTGACATGAAGCTTCTGTCTATTTCTCTCAGGTTGAGGAGGCTGCATTAAATATACGAAAGTGCTAAACAACTATAGCAGTTAAAAGGAACATGTTCTGTGTAATTTTGGGAATAAAGTCATTGGAGATAGTTCTCTCGGAGGGTCTCCCCCCCACCCCCGAAAATCCATAATTCTGTCACAAATGAAAATATGGAGCCTCATTCATCTTTCCTATGTCTCCACTTTACTGTTTGCTGTTTTGTGAGCAGCCTTCCACATCTCAGGGACCAGGAACCTCCACAGAGCACATTTCAGGTGATCGTGGCTTGCTCCTAAATGCCCTAGGCTACGACTTGGCAGAGTTTGTCCTCATTTACTTTTAGACACATGCACAAATTGTTTAGAAACTGACAGAAAACAAGTGTGCATTTCATTAATTAAATAAATAGTCACAGAGTCTCACACTTTCTTGTTTATCTTGAGAAAAACACGCTCTTAATTTCTCAGTGACAAATGCTAAATCGGACAACAGCAACAGCCAAAGAAAGAGAAGAGAAGAAAGTGTGCTCCCCGAACCCCGTAATGAACGGCTAATGGGGTGTGAGATCGACTGACATGGATGGTAAGCTCTTTGCCAAAGTCAAAACAGAAAGCTACATAAGGTCATTTAGAACCCTTATCATTCCAAAAAAGCAAATCTCTTGGAGGCATTCTTAGGTAATGAGGCTCTAACGTGAGACAGGAAAAGGCCAACAGGAAGATGTGTGAATTTTATTCTGTTGACTATAATCCTTTCTAGTCTCCCTTTTTCTTCCACCCACCTCTCATCTTAAACATTTAGCAAAATTCCAAAGCTATGCATCTAATTAAAAGGGAGAGAATAAATCCTTGGGCTCCTTTTAGAACAACATTAGCATTCTACTTATACTAAGTGAGAACAAAAGGATAATGAAGTTCTTTGTATAATGTTTTATTAATGAACTTAATTAGTCTGAGGAGAGAGTGAAAGGATAAAGCAGAGTCTGTTTTAATTTAATAGAAAATATGCTTAGGGTGAGTAATTTCTGAAACAATGGTCCATTTGAGGCGACTTAAGAGTTTTAATAAAGCTGGAGAAGATGAATTAAAATACAACTTATAAAGAAATGTGTTTAGCCTCCCCCCACCCCCAACTCCAAGCTGAACCACAGTGAACTATTCTTGTGGCTTCTTGGGCGTCATTTTCTTTTATTGACACTGGCCTTTTTCTGCCTACTCACTTGTCTTCCTTTCAAAATGTTCGATCTTTTAAGGAATCCTGTTTTTTTTTTAAATACATTCCTTTATAGATCATTTTGTGGAAAATAAATTCATATACTTTAGCTACTTATTAAACTTCAAAGACCTGAGGAGAACTGGGAAAGGCTTTTTCCTGGAGTCATATATAGTAAATATGTGAATTCCTTAGATGAGGTAATTAGCCTATTAATGGCAACTTCAAAAAGTATTATAATGTTCTAAAACTCTGTAACTACAAAAACTTAGTATCTTCCCTCATAAAGGGAAGAATATCTGGTGTTTCTCCTACCGCACTTTTTTAGTTCTCTGGGTCAATAAGTTCCACTTCATGGTATATTAGTATGAGATCTGGGGGAATCTAATAGACTATATGTGAGATAATAAATGTGTTCATGAAGAGTTATTTATAACCACTCTATGAAGCTCTAGTTTGTGAGGCCTCTTAGCTTACAAATAAGCAAACTTTTATCCAATTATCTGAATAAAACACAATCTAAGAGTTTTAGGAAAACAAACGTTGTTATAAAAACTACAGCAACTCATAAATGCATTTCCTATGGGTAAACTGCTAAATATATACTTGATTCCTTAACATTTATGCATGCATCTTAACAATTTTTTCCTAAATTTTTCTATCATTTAAAACCAAATATATTTATACAAATACTTCAGAGGCACTTGCACATTAATTAGTCATTTCATAATATTTATGAAGCATTCAAGAATATTCTAGATAATGTGTGGGAGTAGGGGAGGAAGAGGATAGGGACTCTTGAGGTATTTGCAAAATATTAAAGATGCAGAATAAGCTAACAACAGCTAATGCTTACATAACACTTAGAGGATTTCAAATTGCTTTCATAAATGGCATTACATATTTTCATACAGATGCATCAGTGCCCTTTACCAGAAAGGAGTTCAGTGAAGACTGACAGATACATTTAGAAGCATAGTAGGGAATAAATCTGATCACCGACTTTACCTCCGTGGCAGATAACCGCTTATCTCCATTATCACTTCCAACTCCCGAATCAGAGTCCTTCTTGCTGGGATAGATGTCATCAATATTCAATTCATTTAGAAAAAATTAAAATCACAAAGTTCACACCAAGATATTGGTTTATATTCTAATAATGACTTGGTTATACACATTTTTATTATTATCATAAAGCAATAAATGAATTCAGTATTAAAGAATATTAAGACAGAGCTCTAATGAAAATCAGATACTCTTACTGTGTAAATACAGTACAAGATAAATTCTTTATGTTCATGGTTTCATGGATTTATACTCTAACCAACTGGCCTGCTCTTAGATACAAGTTGTTTCTCTAAAACTATTACCAATTTTTTTTATTTTATTGATTCTAGCATATAAAAAAAGCAATAAGCCACATAATTGCCTTTACCTCTTATGTGAGAAATGGGGTTACTTTCAATAATTCTGTAAATTTTTATCCAGTGATTAAATACATTTGATAGGATCTTTACAAGATAAAATAAATGGATACATATTTTAAGCATTACATAAAAGTAACATTAGGGTAGTCTGAAATTTTAAGTTACCTCATTTAGTAAAAAGTAAAGAGAAAGATTTCTTCAGTGAAAAATTCTCAAAAAGGACTTACATTCCTATAAGTGTGTTTGGTGTGGGAATTTTGTTTTCCAGAAGGAAGCTCAAGGCTTGATTTATGCCACAAAAAGCCTAACGACTTGTGAAGGGATTCTAACACTTGCATTCGCAACAGGAAGTGGCAAAAAACTACACACACTGCATTTTTAAAAGACAATTAAAAAATAAAGCCTGTAGTTTTCCTTAACAATGTTCTGGAGACATATTCAAAATTAATAATTGTTACAAAGGCAGATCTGAGTTTGATACAGTTGTTCTAAGTAAAAAAAAAAAATCCCCATATTTATATTGTAGATCTTATTTATATAAGTATATACATGTACTCAGGAAAGATTGATTATTGATTGATTATTGATTAGGAGATGGTAGATGAGATTAGAAATGTCAAAATGTCCTCAACAGCATCAATTTTCTAGTTCTTATTTTAGTAGTTTCTCAAACTCCAAGTTAAAAATTTGAATTGGTTCAGTGAGCAAATAGATTTTTGTATTTACCTGGAGGGTCTTGGCCTAAGCAAAGTCTAAACAGGGGCTTAAAGTGAAGGCATTGATTGACTCACCTGTCTTCCACGTGCTGATGTAAATGTGGCCTCTCCATGGTGTGGAGATAAAGGGAGTCAGTTGTCTTAATCTGGCACGCTTGTATGCTCAGATACTTAAATATGTGCACTTTGCCCTTGGTGCAAATCTGTGAAGAAATTAATAATACATATTTATTTTTCAATGACAAAACAAAATGTGAATACCAGATCCTAACTCTGTGTATTTCAATTCTCACCATTTCATTTTTAGTAACACCATAACAATGCACACTAAATTTGACCTCTCCAAAACATATAATGGGAATCATTCCCTCCAAATTCTCCTTTAAATAGAAAATCACATTCAACCAATTTCTAATTTTTCTTGAATTAAACTACAAAATTCCAACAGAAATGTATTCAAGTATAAATATAATGTAAAAAGTATATAAGTCAGATAACTGACCCTGTAACATTCCAATCACAAAAGATGGCTTGAAAATTATTTTCAAGCCCATAAGAAAACAACTGAGAGCTTAAAAATAATTATAGATTTAAGAAGTTGTTAAATTATTTTAAAAAAGAAAAACTTTAAAATATCTACATAGTGAACCATCTGAAAGCACATATACTTTATTTTGTTCTCATACAGTTGATATATTTGATCTTTAGCCCTATCTCTAAATAATCAACAATCACATTTTAAGACATTTAAACTCCATTTTCTAGCTAACATTCAAATAAGAAATACATTACTCCTTTTGTAAGGCATATACCCCATGAGAGAGTTTCCCCAAAAATGAGAAATAGGCTGGGTGTGATGGTCCACACCTGTAGAGCCAGCACTCTGGGAGGTTGAGGCAGAAGGATCACTTGAGGCCAGGAGTTTGAGACCAGCCTGGGCAACATAGTGAGACCCCATTTCTACAAAATAATAATAATAAACTAGCCAGGCATTGTAGCACATGTCCTGTAGTCCCAGCTGCTCCGGGGGGTGGCTGAGGCAGGAGGATAGTCTGAACCCAGGAGACCAAGACCAGGCTGGGCAACATAGTGAGACCCCCGTCTCTACAAAAAATAAAAAAATTAGCTAGGCAGGGTGGCACAGGCCTGTAGTATGTAGTCCCAGCTGCTCAGGAAGGCGGAGGTGGGAGGATTGCCTGAGCCCAGGAGTTTGAGGCTGCAGAGAGCTATGATTGTGCCTCTGCACTTCAGCCTGGGCAGTGGAACCAGACTGTGTCTCCACAAAAAAAAAAAAAAAAAAAGAACGAGAAAGAAATAATTAAACATATAATCTGGGGTAGGCGTGATCAGAAGAGTGGCCAAATGCTGGTAAATGGACTTGGTGCACAGAAGACAATTTACTGTAGTCAGATTCAGGCTGCATTTTCTGAAAGACTGTGGCTGCTTATGATCGTGTTTAATACCATCTTAATTCAGCAGAGAATCAAAGAACTGGCCCTGAGGAAAGCTGCTTAAGTGCTACTGACAGTGCATCCCACGGGTGCTGGCTCTGCCCCCTCACCTGTGCTGGAGGAGACTGCAGAGGGTTATTCTCGAGCAGTAGCACTTGCAGCTGCTTCATCTCTCTAAAACAAATGGGAATCACCAGCACTTTGTTGCAGGAAAAATCAAACTTTACCAAGGGAAGATCTACCAATTCTAAAATAACAGAAAAAAAAACAAAGAAAGAAAGAAAGAAAAAAAAACCTTAGAAAGCAACAAGATTAAAAGGCTAAACATTCAAAAATTAATTTTCTGCTTATCAGGAAGAACATCATTTAGCATAACCAAAAGCAAGTTGTACATTAGGCAAACATGGTATTTGTATGTAACATTTTACTAAAGAGGGGGAAATCTTTTATGGGGAGCCCTCAAATTTTAAACTGTTGTTAGTTTTGGTAAGAGTTGGAAATACTTGACATTTACAATATCTATTGTTTAAAAAGCCTTTTTTTCCAGCAAAAGAATCACATAAGCCACAACACACAGGACATGTTTATGTTTTAACTTCAAACTGTTTCCCAGTAGCACTTGCTAGCACATGAGTAATATGCTAATTATAGAATATTCTTATCTATTCAATTTTTTTGAACTGGCATTATCCCAGAACTAGTCACAGTAATCATGTCCATGATTTTTTTCAACTGCACTTAAAAAAATGTTATCTAATTCAGAATTTTCTGACGGGCCTTGTAATTCTGGTTTCATGAGGCTTAATTCTGCTGCTTTTTAAAAAAGTCTTCCATAGCTCCACTAACAAGACCGAACATTATATTTAGCTTAAAATCCCCACCCAGTGGCACAGTAAACACTCAGTAATTTCAAGCATTCAAACCAACATTGGCAGCTGCTAGATACGAAGTCGAACATATTCCACAGAGCAGAGAGAGGCTGAGCCACGCCAGACACCCGGGGTGACACTGGCAAGTCACTGAGACGTCTGTGTGAGGCTATGTTTTGTTATGAGCTCTGTCAATGCATGAAATACGGTGTTTTGAAATACTCAAGGAGTTGCAAAGGGAAGAGGGCAAGAATTAGATAAAGAAGAGGAACTGAAGGCAACGTCCTGGAGCAAGAATGAACACTATTTCTCTTCTCCCTGTACACTGCCCTGGAGTTTTCACTTACTCAGCTACACCATTTCAAATGACACCAAGAAAGAGTCTCCTAGTGGCCAACATCTCTTCTCGGAATTCAAGGCACTCGGGGGATGTGGAGGGACTTTTTCCTTCTTTCGTTACTTATCGAATTACTTTGTCTTAAGGAAAGAAGCAACGGGGCTGCAATTCTTTCTAGACTACAGGACAGTGGAATCACGAAAGTGAAAGGATAAGGAAAAAGTGAGATCCCCTTTCCCCTCACGGTTTGCTTCTGAAACAGCTAGGGGATTCCATGCTAAGAGGAACACATCCTTGCTGCAACCCCTAGGGACACTAACGTGTCTCCGACATGGTTAACTTTACTCACTAAATTTAGGTTGGCAAATCAGTGGCAGAATTTAACATGACTCTGGATTGTCAACAATTCTTTGCCACTTGAAAACCAAGATTTCAAAATAAGACTGGAGGGCTAAGTTCATGCGAGACACAGCAGGCAGAAACTTACAGGTAAATAAAATATGGAATGATTTTATAATGACTATTTCCTTTTTGTTCCAGTTTGGAACACAACTGCCATTGTAATTTAGACAAACAAGAACTGGACAGTTTTACAACAATAAGATGAGGGCAAAAATGATAATCCTGCAACATCATCCCAGGAAAGGTCCGAAGAAATGAGGCAGAAAAAGGGAGTAAGAAAAAAATTAATAAATAACATCCCAATTCTCACTCCCCACTGCAAAGAGAGGCAATGAATGTCTATTTTAATTTTCTGTTCATACTGGTCCTAGAAAGAATAAAATATGGTCTTTTAATTGCAGTTGTTGTACTAAACTACCACAAAACTGATATAGGTAATTAGGCCTCAAGCTTTTTTTTTCCTCCTCAAATTGAAAACATATGAGGAGGGATATCCATAGCAGAAAAACATGTAAGTAAATCTGGGAAGTCTTTAAATTCACTGCCTGAAAGCATTATCAATGTTCTTTTAGTCAACAAAGTTCTCCAGAGTGAAGCAAAAAAAAAAAAATTATATTCAGGAAATTATTATTATTATTATTATTATTATTATTTAGAGACAGGGTCTCACTCTGTCACCCAGGTTGGAATGTAGTGGCACAATCATAGCACACTGCAACCTCAGACTCCTGGGTTCAAGTAATCCTCTAGCCTCAGCCTACTGCTTGGACCAGGTGCACACCACCATGCGTGGCTCATTTTTCTCTTTTTTGTAGAGACAGGGTCTCCTATATTGCCCAGGCTGGTCTTGAACTGCTGGCCTCAAGCAATCCTCTTGCCTAAGCCTCCCAAAGTGCTGGGATTATAGGCGTGAGCCACCATTATACCCAGCCCTCAGGAAATTGGGAAACTATTGAAAAAAAAAAAGATTTTCCAGTAAACTAAAATTTTAACTTTGTATTTTAAAATATCAAAACTGAGAAAACATAATTATGAAAAGTATAGCAATTTGTAACTTATCTTTTAAGGGAAACGAATGCTTTCAAGGTAAGAGAATAAAGAGTGGTGAGAGAAACAAAAACCTAGATTGTGCAGGTGCACTTTCCACGTCTCTAAACTATTAAGGCAACTGTACAATGATTAAATTAGTTTTTCCTTTTGAAAATGAGAGTTCAATCATCTGTAATGTTTTCATAATGACTAACATAGGAGCTTAAATTTAAATAAAAATTTCTTTAGTGCATAAAAGGTTATATGCATATAAATTTGCTGTTAAGAGTCTTCCTCTTGTAGTTGCTTAAACTAAGAAAAGCAAAAAATGTTTCATACATTCAAAATGTTTTATACATTTGAAAAATGGGATTGCATAAGGACAAAATGAAAAATCAATATTTTTATACCAAGTCATCTCAAATAATGAAGTAAAAAAATCTTATGCTGAGATAATTATTACTTCTGTACAATGCTAGTCAGCATGAGAAAGGAGAAAGATGGTAGGCAGACACTTGAACCTTCCCCATCTATAATAGAAACCACATTTTATAAAGTTCTTTCCCTTTCATGAACTCCATTTTCTTGCCTGGAATAAGGAAGCATTTCAAGGCAAAGATCTAGATGCGGGGACAGGACAGTAAAAACCAGGCAGCTCAAACTGCTGCAGTAATGTCAAGGAACCAAATGCTGACTGTTTCCAAATATATGCTTTTGTTTGGGGCATATGTTTAAATATATGTTTGAAATTATGAATGTCTAGAGTTTCATAAAGAATGGAAATCAGTGTGATCTTGGAAAACCGGAGTATGTTTTGAGGAGCATTCAGAGTTCCCAGGCTCATCAATTCATTCCTGATCCAGGTCCAAACTCAAATACGAAATTCGGATCCACTGCCCCCTACAAGGCGACTTTCAAGCTCCTGATGGTAAAAAATTTCTCAGTACATGTATCTTTTTCCTTGAGCCCTGACACACTGTATCAGAGGGACATCCTGTAGAAGCCCACCACTGCCAGGGCACAGCAGGGCTGTCTGAGGGACCTGACATTTGTGCTGAGTGGCAGAGGAGCCAGGCCTCAATGCTGAGGCTCTGAAGCCATCGTTGGTGAAATTCACCAAAAACTGCCATCAGTCCAGGTATCACTCCAGCAGGGGCAGCACTCTCACCCGAAGAACACATTGTAGACACTGGGGGTTCTGACCAGGGCTCCTGGATCCCCAAGGCTAGGAATCCTGACAGCCAGAATCTGCAGGCCCAAGCACGTCCCCTTAACGGTTGGTTGCGTGTTCCAGAACATCGCACACCCACACCAAAAACAATTCACACTGCCCCTGTTAGGGGCTGGCTTGTGGCCCCCAAAATCCATATGTTGAAGCCCTAACCCCAGAACCTCAGAATGTGACTATATTTGCAGATGGAGTCTTTAAAAGGGTAATTAAGGCAAAAGGAGGTGATTAGGACAATCCACTGGCGTCCTTGTAAGATCAGGAAAGACACACACAGAGGGAAGACAATGTAGTGACACAGCGAGGGAAAGACGGCCAAGGAGAGAAGAACCAACCCTGCTGACATCTTGATCTCAGACTTCCAGCCTCCACAAGTGTGAGAAAATAAAATTCTGTTATTTAAGCCATCCCATCAGTAGTTCTGTCATAGCAGCCCGAGCAAACTAAAACACCCACCTACCCCATCCCCGCACAGCACCATATAGGGGAATGACCTTGATGCTGTAGCACCTGACTACAACTACACTGTGAGCAGCACTTTTCCGTTATCTGCAAGTGAAATTCACATCATAATCATCAGTAGTAAGCATATACACAAGATCCACTCTCTTCCCAAAAGTACACCAAAACAATAATCGAAGTCTCCCCTTTTCTTCATTTTTTTTTTTTTTACCTTGTGGCAAAACTTTAAGGTAATTTCTTCTGACATTCAGTTCTCGCAGAGATCTCAGCTGGCCTATCTGCTGGGGCAGTGCGGTGATCTCGTTGCAGCTGACATCCTGTATCAAAAGCAGAGAGAGCAAACAATAAACGTCTTTTTCCAGGAAGTCAAGCATTTCATGCGAAATCTCCTTAAGGAATTTAAATATTGGGACAACTACACAGGTACACTTTTATGCTGGTCTCCAGGTCCCTGGCATTAAGGCTCACCACAGAGAAAGAAAAAGAAAGTTCAAAGCTTTAAACACCCTCAGAGGAGAGAAATACGGAGAAAAAAAAGGATGTTAGTAGCATTCGGGAGCTGCTTCCAGTTTGGACCTGGAATGCTAGAGCATTCCGCCAGCCTCTAGCCTGACACTTTCACATGCTGAGATTTTATTTAATTCTCACAACAAACCCATAAGGCAATATTACTAGCCTAATATTTATAGATCAAAAAATTGAGGCTCAGAAAAGTTTAGCCAGTCGCCCAAGGCATGCGAGTGCCAGAGTTAACACTAGGCTTATCCCACAATCCCTCTAAATAGAAGGAAGATGACAATGTATCCTATCTTTCCAAACTCTCACATTTTACAGTGAAAATCTATGACTATTAATGCACAGTTTGGATGCACTATTTATTTAAAATGGAGTTCTTACCATATGGCTAGAAACCTTGTAGCTGACCACCTTTCCACATATTTTGCAGGCAAGACTATGAAACACGATTTTTGTCTTCTTTGCTTTACACGGCAAATACTCCATTAATCCTTGACTAGAATTCACCTCTTGACACAGGCAACATGGAGGCCTTGACGTTTATAATCTTCTATATCCTCCTTATCTCCCCTAATCCCACTCTTCCTCTTGGCTCTGGGAGTTGTGCCCTGCTCTCTCCAGCTACCCCTGTATCCAGACCTGCACTCCTCCCAGCTGGGCACTACGGTGGTCTCCTGACTGGTTTCCATACATCAGTCTTGTCCTCACATCCATCCTTCACAGAGCTGCCAGAGTGCACATTTCATTATGCGGTCACCAGCGCAGACACTTGCAGGGGATCTTTGGTAACTACACAATAACGTTCAAACTTGGAAGCAAGACCCAGCGTCTATGATGGGGGCTGCCCATTTCTCCAACACCATTGCTCTGAATGGCCCTCCTTGTATCCCACACTCCAGCCATGTTACTGCTTCCTGCAATTCTCAGCGTGTGCCAAGCTGTTTCACAGTCCCCAAACTTGTTCAGGCTCTTTTGCTGCCTGATATACCAATATTGTCTGTCCTCTTGTCCCACTCGATTTTGAGCCTCAGCTGCCTCCTTAAAACCTTTCCCAAGGCTTCTCTCTGCCACTCTGATCCCATGCCCGGGGAGACCAACCACTCTTCCTTTGTGATCCTACAGATAGTGGGTTACTGTGATTCTTTTGCTCACATTCTTTTACCTTCCCCTTTAAGCCTGTCAGCTCCTAGGTTCAAGGGACTATATCTTATTCACTTACCCTTTTGGTGCCTCGTGGAGTGCCAGGTATAAAGTAAAGCATCAATAAATGTTGGGTGAAACCTGTATAACCCACTTGTGGTGACACCCCATAACACTGTGGCTCCATCTCGTGGCTGGGACCTCAGGATGCTCCAATATACACACTAAACCCCGTGCAGGTCCCACTTGGTATCAAAGAACCAAAGGTAATTATTTGGACTATGAAAGATCGCAGTGAGGTCAAGTCCTTAGATACCCCATTTCACTTATGAACCTGCAAAAACTGCCCCCTTAGAAGGCAGCAAAGCCTGGTTTCAGACATCTGTTTCACTTTCACGCAAATGGGATGAACCTGTCATCTACCTACCCCCCAAAAAACCCCAGGCTCTAGTTAGACCAGGGCTATACACAACACAGTGGGTGGTCCCTGCCCTCTGATCTCGTCTCATCTCACTCCCCAGGTGACAGCCAACCTGTCATGGTCATGAGGGTGCTCAGTGGATGTCACTAGATGAAGGGAGCAACATGGCTCCTGCTAAAAGGGAACGAAGCTGCAATCTACAAAGCCTGAGTGTCCAGAGTGTGGTCGCCCCACCAAGCTTCTGCGAACAGCTGTCTGATGGGGGAGTGGGGTGATACTACGTGTTCCTTGGCTTCACCCTCAAGCTGCCATTGCTGCATCCTTCCTGGCCCAGAAAAGTCACACACAATTTTAAGAAAAACACTTCTGGTGTTTAAAACAAAAACAAAATAAAAGACTTCACCAGCATATCTGCAGAAACAAGAAGGTCTCAGGAAGTAATTACAGAATTAGGAGGTCCAGAGATTTGTTCAGTCACTCAGCCCCTTGCTGAGTTGGTAAATTGCTCCGTCTTTCCGAATATATTTCCACATACAAGAAGTGAACGGTGACGTGCCATCTTTTCCCAATTACTGTGGCATCTGGTCAGTCACAGAAGCCAAGAACCAGATCCTTTCAATGAAAGCTTTATCTTTCTTTGCCTTAACTAAGTTACAAAAAACAAGAGGTACCATTCCATTCTATGTACAAAGAACCCTCAAACCAACGGTATACACAGGTGAGCCCTAGAAATGCATGAAACCAAATCATCCTATGGGATTATGACCATGTGGTGTTGTTGACGGGTGGAGGGGGTGTTATGGGGAAGAATTCGTGGAAATTACTTTCCACTGATAGAAAACATTTCTGTCATTGACATCTAAAATAAGTTTTTGTATGTCTTTTGAGTGACAGCACGAGAAAGACCCTTTTGCAGATCATGGAAATCACAGATTTTCAATATGAAACTGACAATTTTTAGAAGTTTCAAGGACATGTTTAAGAAAAATCTTTCTCTTAAAAAATAAGGGTGGGGAGAAGGAAAGCAGAAAGATAACTGATATATTTAGGCAGCAATCTATTCACAGCATGAAATCTCCTGATATGAAACTAAGCCTTGGTCCGTATTTTAGTGACTATATTCACCTTACTCTTTGCTGCTCATGCCTGTGTTCACCATGAAATCAAGGTACACTGTTTCATGCCTGTGTTCACCATGAAATCAAGGTACACTGTTTCTCTGAATATACAATGATTATTTCCAACATATATTTCTAACATAATGGCTTTAGCAAAGAAAACCAACTCCCTTCAGCTATATTTAATTATTACCAGTAGAGAGAACATTACCTAATTTACTTTAGAAACTTTCACATAATGATAAATACAAGTTTTCCTTCTGGCTTATAGGACAGGACATCTGTAGACAATTAGAAACACAAAATCCAATTATCCATTCACATTTTCAAGGGTATATAGTGAAGGTCAAATTATTTTAATAGCATTCTGCACTATTGTCAGTTACTTTCTGTCCTGACAAAATAATTGGGGGGCAGGGGGCAATTATTGCCCAGAGAGATTTAGCACATAAGCAAGACAAAGACTTTTTGCTATTGTATAATTAAATTGTGTAAAAAATAGTGCAAAATTCTATTCCCCACAAGTCACTGAACCTTGCCAAATTTTAAAGAAGCTATGAATTTCATCACAAAAATAAAGCCTCATGGGTAATTATGTCTTAATGAGCTTGGGGATGAGAAGGAAGAAAGAGGAGATAATAGTCTAGGTGTTTGGGGAAAAGATATTTCAGTTCTAAAAGTGTAAAAGTAAGATGCCTAGAGTAGCCTTGTTCTCTAGAACACGTCTGTCCAAATTTAGCCTAAGATAAAGTACGGATTTTTGGAGTTACTGAAAGAAGATATGATTTAGGAAAATAAATTTATAAAATAACACTAATGCCTCACCCTTCTGCAATTAGTGAGAATTCATCAGGTCATAAATTATAGATTCAGTTACCTATTATAATAGTCAAATAAATCCCTTCTGAATTTTCTGTTAGCCCTAAGCCATGTCTTAGAGAATAATTATTCCAAACTTCAGTGAAATCAAATTCCCATAAATTTAGTGTTAAAATATTACAAACCTAGAGGTAGATTAAGAAGAATCATTATAAGCATCTGTCATAAATGTTTACTGAGTTTATTCTTTTTGATACAGAAATAGATCTAATTATAATAATATAACTATTCAAACTTAAGTTTTTTATGGATCAGGTAGTCCAACTTTGTCATTTAGATAAAAAAAACTAAATAGAAGATTTGGACTATGACTTAAAATATACTTATTTTCCACTGGTTTAACCAAAAGCCAAAAGAAAAACTTTGGAAATTAAGATTCTCTCTTCATCACACTAAAAGAAGGTCTCTAGTGTTAAATGCATATTAGAGATTAATTCATTTTTGTTACTAAGTACTAGTTGCTAACTTACCTTCAGAATGCAAAAATAACAAGGATTAAAATATCAGAATAAATTCAAGGATTATTAAAGTAGGTAATGCTCACTTTCAGAAAATAATATCATAAAAAAGACTAGAAGGGTTTTTGTTTTTTTTTTTAAGGAGTGATATCTAATGAAAACTGACATAAACACTGAGTCAAGACGATTCTGGTTAGAGAAGAGTTCCAGTGAGACAGGCCCACACTGTGGAATTGCAGGTGTATTGTCACAAGCAACCTTTCTCTGACACTCAGGTTTTCACAAGGGTAGTGTGGCAACACTATTGCTTAAGTCAAACTTTACTGATAACTCTAGCTATTTACTTAATTGAAGAAAATGCAAACGTTCTGACAGGAAATGCAAGCTATTAACACTGGCCTCCCATCCTGTAACCATGATGCCCTTTTGTGGAAATCCCTTTTGCATGACTCATGGTGTAACTTTAGTTAAATGGCACATGCTTTCTGTGTCTTTACTGAAAGAAGAGGTGAAGGATTCAATAATTCTAATTCTCTTCCAACATCAGGAAAATCCATTTACTACATCAGAAATAATGAAATGACTTTTGTTGAAACACAGATATATAACAAACTTAAGTAATATCAAATTTGTTTTCTGACCAATAAAAGAAATCTCAATGCCTGTGGTCAGAACTTTCCTTTTTTAAAAGAAAAATCAATATTCAAGTTTAAATATTCATTAAACTTGAAACTTTTTCAAGCAGCCTCTGGTATAATAAATTATTACCTCTCACACCAGTGTCT